GTTCTGATCTGGACCCGGGTAATCAGCCATGACTGTTCCTGTCCTGAGGGATTGTGGGTCATGGAGATGTAAGCTGGACTTTGATCTGTTCTGCCGTCTCACCCTGTGATAATCTGTTCTGGAGCTGCGTGTCCCGATACAACCCAACTGCCTGATAAGTTTCCCTCAGAGGAAAAGAAAACTGCTGATAAACTTGTTTCTGTCTGACGTCCACAGAAGAGCCTTGAAGAAACCCAAAGAAATCTGAGACATGAGTCACAAACAAACGTTAGTGTTCATAAAGACAAATAAGAAGAACATTTAATGTCTTTTTGGAGATTTTCAGGAAACATTGGGGTTAAAATCTGACTAGCAGTGATTGTTCATCCATGTTTCACTTTTTCTAATGAGTGAAGTCATTTTTACCCCAGAGGAACTTTAAGAAAAGTCCAGAGGCCAGAATCAGCGTCAGTGATAACGACGAAGAGGAGCGAAGAAGATCTGCAGAAAAACAACAAACACTTCAGGAACAAACCTGAAACTGCAGCGCGAAGCACAACGAGATCCATGACGTAGCATCGCAATGCTAAACATGTTGCTAATGCTAATGTCCACGTGACTTTGCTCCAATCTGATGGTTAAACAGATTAAAAACTATAAATATATTTGTTTATGACCTTGAGTTTATTAATTTAATCATTCTGAAGCAGAAATCGTTTTTAGAGTTGAAATGTTGCTTATTTTGTTGATTTCAGTCGAAAGGTGATAATTAATAATAGACGCTGCAATTTACTTGATTAAACATTTATTTATGACTAGTTATCACCAGGTTATCTGAGAACAAGTTGGTTCCTTTCAAACTGACAGAATGAATATGAACTTTTCTTCTTGTTTGAACTGAAACTTATGACCTGAACTGAACACAGAGTCAAAAACCACAATGTAAAAAGTCTCTGACTCACTGAAACCATACAAACCAACACAATGTTTTAAAACCAGACTCAGACTTTTGATTTATGAAAACATGCTTTTTTTCTTCAAAAATACTTTTTCTGGATCATTCCTACCAATATCTTTCCCCAAACCTCCAAACGTGTTGATTTAATGAACCTAAAACTAGAAAGAATGGCTCTTTCAGCATCATTCATATAACTTTATGAGAAACTGTTTGAGGTGATGTGGATCTAAATTCAAAGTCGCTCATTCCTGGTTCAGAACTGTTTACAGTGTAAACCCCCCAAAAACGAGTTTATCAATCAGAGGATGATTTATACATTTCTTCATTCATTTCTGCAGCAGTCGTGACGTCAGGAGGTCTGGAAGCATCTGATTGGCTGCTTCATTACCAGGTGAGCAGGTGGTTTGCTGCTACATTTGGTGTTTTTAATAATATAACACAGCAGAACAGTTCTGTTTCTGAGGGCTTGTGTAGTTAAATGAAGCAGCCGGAACCGGTCCGGTATCCGGTGCGTGATCCCGCATCGTGATGCGGAGCGACAGCAGGGCGGGACGCGCAGGTCCAACGGGGCAGCTGCGGCGGGACTTTGCCCTCCAACGGGGCTATAAAACCCCGCCGGGGCAGAAACAGCGACACTGGAGGAGAACCTGCTGCCTCTGCGACCCAAAAGGCCCAAACATGAAGATCCTCGTGGTTCTGGTTCTGATCTCAGGTGAGCGGATTTTGACGGTTTGAACCGATTTCAGCCGATCGGCATCGGGATGCTGACGTCACGTTTCGTCCGCAGTTTGCAACGCCAACATCCTGTGGCAGGAGCCTCCCAAGAGCAACATGGAGGTGGTGAAGGCGGCTTTCTGGGACTACGTTGCAAAGGCAACGCAGACCGCCGAGGACTCGCTGCAGCAGATCCGGAACTCCGACCTGGGACAGGAAGTGAAGTAAGAGCCTGACGCGATACGATAACATTATTGTTCTGAGATCATTCTCAGGTAATTACTGATAATAATACAAAATTACCAAAGATAAATAAGCTTTAAATTTATAAAGAGCAGTGAACTTACTGATGAAACAAATGATGAAAACAGGAAACTCAGAAATTAAAATTAATCTCAGAAATTTTCTAAAAGAAATCTTGAACTTGTAAATTTCTGAAAATGTTCAAGTTGGAAACTCAAATTCTCAAATTGTTTCTAGAAATTTCTTAATATTTATCCAAAAATTTCTGAAAATGTTTTAAACAGATTTTTTTAGAGCTCTGAATTGTTTTACTTAAAAAATGAATCTCAAAATGAAGCTATTCTCATATTAGGACTTCATCCTTCCTACTTGTTTCTCGTTGTTCTCACATCTTGATTATTGTTGAAATAAACATCTTTATTCTTGAAATGAACTTTTTTTCTCTTATGTGACTTTATTCTTACAATTTTATGACTTTCTTATCATTTTTATCATCATAAAATAAAATGGATTATGATGCCTCTGCAAAACAATATCCCTTCAACTATATCAAGATGAAACTTATCATGTGATTAATTGATTAATAGACCAATTGATACATTTCTTAGGTTTCAGTTTCATCTCGGCAGACAGATTTCTGATTTTTTTTTGTCTCATTCCCAGTTCGAAGATCTCCCAGAGCGCCGACACCGTGAACCAGTACGTGGCGACGCTGCGGACCCAGGCCGCGCCCCTGACCCAGGACTTCCTGACCCGGTTCACCCAGGAGGCGGAGCAGCTGAAGGCCCGGCTGGAGGGCGACATGGCGACCCTGGGGTCAAACGTCCGGCCGTACAGCGAGCAGCTGGTGGCCAAGCTGCAGGCGCAGGTGGAGGAGCTGAAACGGGAGGCGACGCCGTACGCCGAGGCGGTGGACGGAGAGGCGCTGAAGGCCATGGTGCTGCAGAAGAGCCAGGAGCTGCGGGCCCAGCTGGAGGCCGGCGCCACCCAGCTGCAGGCCCAGATGGGGCCGTACGGCGACCAGCTGAAGGGGAAGATGGAGCGCAGCCTGGAGGACTTCCAGCAGAGCGTCGTTCCTCTGGCGCAGAGCTTTGAGACGCAGGTGGCCCAGAAGGCCCAGGAGCTCCAGCAGAGCCTGGTTCAGAACGGCGAGGCGCTGCGGGCCAAGCTGGACACCGGCGCTCAGGACCTGCAGGCCCAGCTCACCGCCCTGTGGGACGCCTTCACCCAGAAGGCCCAGTAAACTGACTGTCCACGCGTATTTATTCTGGCTTCTGGCACTTAACTTTATCTTCTATTTACATTTACCAAAATAAAAGCTGCTGAATCCTTAAGCATTTTGGTTTCTGCTTCTTGTTCTTTTAGACATTATCAATTGTTCTTATTGAATCATTTCCACTGATTGAAATGAAATGTTCTTTTGTCCAGTACCTTGAGACGACACAAGCCTGACATAAAAGACTGAATTTAAATGCCAGAATTTAGTGTCTGATAAATATATATTGTTAACTAAACTAGATTTAGCTGGTAATCTATATATTTGGGTTCATGCTTAAAATGTAGTTCACAAACTAAATATTTAACATGCCAACCAAACATTTGGCTGGGAAGCTAAATAGTTAGCCTGTTAGCTTAAAAATAGCTGCTACGTAAGTTATCTAGTTTATTTTGAGAACTAAATATTTCGGTCCAAGTTAAATATTTCATTTGGAAATTAAAACATTTGTGTGCAACAATGAGGAGAGAAAAAGTTCAGAGCTCCAATATGGAGGGTCAAGACAAACATAGGAACCAAGCAAACAATCCTGTGGCAATAACTAATCAATAATCAATTAAAATGAGCTTGATAATTTTCTCTTGTGATTATTAGTTTTTAAAGGGTAATTTTATTTGCAGAAACTTTAGTATCAATTTTTATCCATGGTTTCAGTTGTTTCACTGTTTGGTTGTAGAGTTTTATTTTATATAGACTATTTAAAATATGTTCAAGTTCATCATTTGTTTTACAAAATTAAAGATCTTTGCGATCCAAATATCATGATGTCAAATGCTGCTGGACGATAAACTGTCCCAGAAGTTTGGAGACCATTTTCAGGTGATCTGATGGTAGAACATCAGATCAAAGATCAAGAAGCATCAAATTCAACACAGGAAGACATCTTAAATATCCTAAATAAATAAACAAAATTGTCCTTCCAAAAAAGGAGAACAGACTCAACATTAAGTTTAGACCAAAACACCAAACTGAAGACTTTTCATCTCGTTTTTGGTAGAAAAAAAGAAAAAACTATAAATCATGCAAAAGGAAACTATTGAGCTTGTTTTGATCGATTATGGATTAATGTATTTGCTTATTGCAAGTAATCACCAGAACAATTGATAGTCATTAATTATTAGTGGCTGAGGTGGGCCAGATGAATCACACTGAATGAACTGTCCCGCAGACAGCGACCCCTGCAGGTGGAGACTCAGATTCAGCTGCAGGTAAAGCCAGAAAGACCGAACCGGACCTTCAGCACTGAGAGCGAAGCTCAGCTGAACCGAGTCAAGCAGCAGCTCAGGTGAAAAACTGTTTTGTTTCTCGCTCACTCTGAGGTTCCAGAGGCTGTTTCAGCCCACAGCGCCAGAAACAGAAACAAACAGCTGGTTTAGCTGGTCATAAACCCCGAAAGGCTCGTTTCACCTCCGGTTCACTGCAGAACGCTGCCCCTCACAACATGGCGGCGCGACTGAGCGCTGAGTGGCGCTCGTCATGCTCGAATTCTATTGGCTTAGCGTAGCAAAGCCCCCACAGGCGCTGAGCTTTCTGATTGGTCGGGCTGAAATTCAGCAACAATAAAGTAAAGAAAAAAGAAACAGCTTAAAAATTGGCGGCAGCAAAACCTCCGAATGTCAAACAAAACTGACGAAACTGGATATGAAAATGCAACTTTGTGGATGAAGGTTTCAGTAAACTGTAGAAAAGGCTCCCATAAGAACCGAACCGTTCCAGAACAGTTCTGCAAACCTGCAACAGATGCAACAACATATAAACAGCTAAATTAATTTCATTCATGATCTCAAGGTGTTTATTAAAGTGTCTGCAATAAAAACCAAACGGACAAAATAATGTTCAGGCCAATTTATTGAATTTTTAAGTCTGCATGTTCTTCCATGTTACACCAGTAGAGGGCAGATTGGTCAAGTCAAAATAAACAAAATTACATTTTTCTACTTCATCCAATCAAACTCATACATTTTGTTTTGGAGGAGGAAAACAAACCGACTTCCTGAGCAAAAAGTCCCAAATGAAGGAAAAGCTGGAGGCGTTGGAGCCGAATCAAAGTTTTCCAATCATGAAGCCTCCAGCAGCAGCTGAGTTTAAATCAGTGCAGCAAGTCTGGGAATCAATTTAACGTCGCTTTAGAGAAATTCACATCATGGAGTCAAAAGTTTAGTTTGGTTCATTTTCCTCCTTTAGGAATTTGCATGAACCCGGATCCAGTTCCAGTTCTGGATTTAGTTTTATTCCAGATCCCCCCAAGCCCCCCTTGGCGCTCCGACACAAAAACACAAAACGAGTCGACAGACGAAACATTCATCACGACATCCTCTGGTTCCCAATCCCATGAAAACAATCGGATCTTTGTAAAGCTCCAGGGATGGAAAAAGATCGCTTTATGGTCCAGAATGCCCTTTGAGCAGGAATATTTAGCTTAGCTTCTGGAAATTATGTCAAATCGGAATAAAGCAGAGTTTGGATCCAAGACCTGGATCTCAGAGGAGATGATGATGATTGAATCATCGGCAGGGATGTGATCAGGAAAAACAAACAAGGAAGGAAGATATCGCGTCAGAAAGAAACTGTTTCTCTGGAGGTGGCAGATCGGAAAACTCGACAAAGATCACATCCCTGACGACAACATGTCTGATCCGACGCCAAATCCAATGTTTGATCAAACATCCGAAAAAACACAAACAGAATCGCCGACATCCAGCTTCACGTTTTTATCGTCGTTCCGATTTTGTTCCCGGCTTAGCGGAAACTGCGTGTAGCAATTCCCATCCGCCACACACACACACACACACACACAGAGACACACACACACACATGCATACACACACACAGAGACATACACACACACACACACTCACACACACACACAGAGACACACACACACATGCATACACACACACACACAGACACACACACACATGCACACACACACACACAGAGACATACACACACACACACACACACACACAGAGACCCACACACACAGAGACCCACACACACAGACACACACTCACACACACACACACAGACACACTCACTCACACACACACAGAGACCCACACACACAGAGACACACACACACACACACACACACAGAGACCCACACACACACAGACCCACACACACTCACTCACACACACACAGAGACACACACACACACTCACACACACACAGAGACCCACACACACAGACACACACACACTCACACACACACACAGAGACACACTCACACTTACTTTTTGGTTTTGCTTCAATCCTGAAAATCAGTTTCAAGGAAACAAGAAAACTAAAACTCCTCCTCTTCCTCCACTGAAGCCAAACATTTTCTGGTTTTAATCGGAAGTTTGCGGTTTTCCCGTTCGATTTGAAACACCTCAGTCAGAACACGGAAAACCGTCTTTCCAGAGCCGCTCTGGTCCGACTCCGCGCTCTGTCCGGCACTTAAAACAAAAACGTTTTGGTGTAAAACCTATTTCCGATTTGTGTCCTGATTTCAGCACCAGCGAGGAGCCTTAAGATGCTTCCGATTAAACACTTGGTTTCTGGAAAATTTGGCTCCGATCAGAACCAGCGAAAGCAACAAAAAAAATAAAATAAAGTCATCGTAAAAGCAAAAAAATATTTTTTTATGTTTTTTTTAAATCATTAGTGATGCTCTGTAAGGGGAGGACAGAAAGAAACCCCAGCTGCCTGTTCAGAGATGCTACAATCCTGCCGAGTCCAAACTAAACCTCACATTGTTCCGAAACGAAGAAACCGGACCCGAGCAGGAAAAGGAAAAGTTATTGCTGCTGCAGGAGGGGGGAACCTGTCTAGCGTGGTCCGGTAGAGCCGGAGCTGGTTTCATCGCTCCCTGGTCCGTCAGGAACAAAAAACCTGACCCAGTTTCACTCAGCAGCAAAAAAGAAACAGAACAAAAAAAAACAGAAATGTTCAGAAGTTTCTGGGCTCAAAGCCGAGTCCAGTTCATGGATAACGCCGCAGTTCGGTTCTGGTGAAAAACTGGAAAAACTCACAAGTTTGGCTTCAAATTTACACGGAGATCCAATCAGAACCAAACGTTCATCAGATTCACTGCAACAAACTGCGGCGTTATCTGGGCCTGGACTCAGAACCGGACCAGAGGAGCCCGGTCCGGGCTGCAGAACAAACATTGGCATCTAATACATTCAACTACGAGTGACACGTCCGGACTTCTGACCGTCTCGACTGAAAACCAGAGGGAGTAACACGGAGCGGGAAGTTTCTGCTGTTGTTCTGCGCCGGCGCCGTTCGGAACCACTGCCGGGTCGACTGAGCGCGGATCGGAGCGGTTCACAGTAAAAACTGGAGCTGCTCCCGTTTTTCCCCGAGCGCCGCCAGATCCACGCAGGAAGTTTCTGCGCTTCTGCTCGTTCTTCTAATTCATGAGGGGGAAGTCGCGCTGCGTTTAAAGAAAGCTGCCATTTTTATTGCGACGCCTGGGAGAGCGGCGTCCGGGCAGGAGAAGGTGGCGGGTTGTGGGTTGGTTGCATAACGGGCGCTGCGACGGGTTTGCTGCTTGTGCTCTGCTGCTGCAGCAGGACGGGAGGGGAGCGTGCGCCAGGGAGGAAGTAAGGCACTTAAGTGAGAACGGCGGCGTCAGGGGCGAGCGAGGGGCGGCGGGCGAGTCGGGTCGGAGCCGGTGCAGAACAACAAGCGGGACTGTGAGGAACTAGCCGGAAGGTTCTGGAAGCGAGGGATGAAGAGGAAGATGATGAAGAGTAGCGTGGAAACGTCTGGCGAAGCCCGGAGTGTCACGATGCTCTGCGGAGGAGAAAAGAGTCGGGTCAGGGCGCCGCGGAGACCTCGCCGCGCCGCGGAGACCTCGCCGCGCCGCGGCAGGAAGCTTAGCTTTAGCCACCTGTTCTAGGTGCTGTCCTGGCGGCGCGGCGGCTTCTCGGCCGCGTCGTCCTCGTCGCCGTCGGTGACGGGCCCGGAGTGGTACTCGGCCACGTAGAGGCTCTTGTCGATGCTGCTGGGGATGGGCTTGATGTCGGTGACCAGCTGCTCCTCGATGGCCTTCAGGTTGAAGCGATCCTCCGAGGTGATCAGGTTGATGGCCAGACCCAGGTGGCCGAACCGCCCTGTTACCATGGAGACGGAGGGCCGCGTCATTTCGTCAATAAAAATCATTTATTAAGAAAAAGACAGTAAAAGGCGTTAAATACATTTATACACTTTTATAAAAATGATCTAAAAATAGAAATCCTGAAAACTAAAGACCATTTCTATAGTTTATTTAAAATGAATCCATAAAATAAAAAGCAAAGTCAATTTATCTTTAATTCATCAAATAAAAAATATGAAATTAGAATATTTGTCTTTTTATCTAAAAAACTATTTGTTCATATATTTTATTTTTGAAAGTTATGAAAGTAGAACTATTTAATGAATGTTTACTGTTTTATACAAGCACAATTTTTATTTATGTTTGTAGCTACAGAATTAATTCATTCATTCATCAAGTAGAAATTAATTTGTCCAATTTATAGTTTCCAAGGTGACGACCAGAAAGGACCGACAGATTCAACATGAATCCAAATCATTTCTGCTTCTGGTCATTTTGCTGACAAAATCAAGTGAAATAAAAATAATGCATCCGATACCAACAACCTGTAAAAACTAAAAGGTTCCGGACTCGGGCTTTGGACCCGGGTTCCAGACCCGGGTTCCGGACTCGTCCACCCACCTGACCTCCCGATGCGATGGAGATACGTTTCTGCATTTTTAGGGAAATCAAAGTTGATGACGACGTTCACAGCCTGGATGTCGATTCCTCTGGTGAAAAGATCTGCAGGAATCACAACAAAAACGTTTTGAGCAAAAATTCAATTAACTAAAATCTGCTGCCAGAAACAAATCTAACAAAATGTCTCCCACATCATTTGGAGTCAGAAAGAAAATCAACAACATTATAAAGGTTATCAATGAGTCATTATGGATAACAGGAAATATTCATCACACAGGAAAACAAATCTTCAGGTTAAAGGCTTTAACATTAAACAGAAATAATTTTAGCGATTCTAGTCGATTTAAAACAAGTTTTTATCTGATTTAACTTCAGATGGAGAGAAAATATATTTTTATTTACTGTATAAAAATATCTTTTCACACAAATTTAGCCTTTTAAATCAAACTATAGATTTAACTTTATTGCCAAACTGTGTCGTTTGGATGTGAAGCATTTTCCAAACCTTGAAACATTTCAAGGATTCCAGGTGAAAACTCACCGGTGCAGACCAGGTTCCTGCACAACCCGTTCCTGAAGTCGTGGAACACGCGGTTCCTGTACTCCTGAAAACAAACAGGGACCCGTCAAAACAGAGACCCAGACGAGCTGGACCGGTACCGGGACCGGGGCGGAACGGGTCGGAACGGGATGGACCAGGGCAGGACAGGGTCGGGACCAGGGCAGGACCGGGTCGGACCGGGGCGGGACCAGGGCAGGACCGGGTCAGAACGGGATGGACCGGGTCGGGACCGGGATGGACCAGGGCAGGACCAGGTCGGAACGGGATGGACCGGGTCGGAACGGGTCGGAACGGGATGGACCGGGTCGGAACGGGTCGGAACGGGATGGACCGGGTCGGGACCGGGTCGGGACCGGGTCAGTACCTGCATCATCTTGGCGTGGATGTAGAAGCAGGAGTATCCCAGCTGTGTGATCTTCTTGGCCAGCAGCTCCACCCGCTGGGTGGAGTTACAGAAGATGATGGACTGGTTGATCTGCAGCTGCAACCAGAACACAGAGTAGACCCGTCAGAGCTCGACCCGGTTCTGAACGCCACGGCGCGGGTCTTTGGCAGGTCGGCGGCGGTTACCCTGGAGAAGAGCGTGTTGAGGCAGTGGACCTTCTGGCGCTCCGTCACGTAGGCGTAGAACTGGGTGATGCCCTTCAGGGTCAGCTCCTCCATCAGGTTGATCTCGTAGGGTTTCTGGAGGTGCTTCACCTGCAGAACCAGAACCAGAACACGGATCAGAGCAGGACAGAAATTTACCACAGAAAGAGGCAAAGACAGGCAGGGATGTCCAAAGTGCGGTGCGGGGGCCAGTTGTGGCCCCTGGAATGATTTTGTGCCTCATCACAGCAATGAAATAAACGTCTCCTCCACCTGCGTCCATCGTTTCCCTGGACTTGGCCCGCCTTTTCCCAGGATGCATTGCAGGACGAACAGGAGATTTCTGACCTCATAACAATGGCGGACGCAGCGTGAAACGCGTTGAGTTTTTATCGTTACCATATTAAACTTGGCAACTGATTTTTGTATTTGTTTTGTTCCTTTGTCTTTTTTCATTACCTATAAAGTTCATATAGTTTTATTCATGTCTGAACGCTGAGAGCGATTAAAACTAAAATAATCTGGACTGCATTCTGATTTCATTTTGAATCTAAAGTGATTTACACATTCCTGTGCTAAAATGTCAGATTACAGTAAATTACAGCAGAGCTGGTGGAAAAATTCACAGAATTATCTGGGATTAATTTAAAATTTACATTATTTCCTGGGAGAGTTTGGAAGTTTATTCCTTTATTCTGGTCCAGATCTGGGAATCCTGGATTCGACATTTGAACTTTTAGCTTTGACTCCAAACTCCTCCCAGATTTGCTGGCATTCCCGCGGCGTTCCAGGGAAAACCGTACGGCTGCAGAGAGGCCCGTCCTGCTGACTCACCATGAACTTCTGGACGCTGATGGGGAAGGTTGCGGAGTAGAGCAGGATCTGCCGGTTCTTGGCCAGGAAGCTGATGATGTCCTCGATGAGAACCACGAAGTCCTGAGAGAGCAGCTTGTCCGCCTGAGGAGGAAGAAGAGGAGGAGGAAGGTCAACGCGGCGCTCCAGAGCGAGCGGCAGCAACACAGACGGCTGTCGTCACGGTTACCTCGTCCATCACCATCATCTGGACCCGGTCCACCTTCGCCACGCCTTTTTTTATCAAGTCCAAGATGCGGCCGGGCGTGGCGATGACGACATGCACTGCAGGCAGAAACATCTTCAAACCACTTTTTATTTTGCCAACTTTCTTTTTCTAAAAATAAGTTATTTTCAAAAAGTGGCTTTTATTTGAATTGTCTTTTCTGTGAGTTTTAGAGTCAGGCTACGACAATTTAGCCAAAATAAAAGGAAGAAATGACAAACGATTACCAGAGAAAACGTCTTAAAATTCTGATAAAAACCCTCTAAATGCAGCTCAATCCGTCTGAAACAAATAACAAACGCAGCAAACACAAAATATTTCCAACTGTTTCTGTTTAGTTTCTACTGAAAATATCTTGGCACATTTGAAATAAGTTAACTTACAAATAACAGCAGGATAATGGAGCTATTTCAACAAAATAGTTCCTAATATTGATTTTAAAAGAAAAAAAGTTTTGTTCCACATCAAAATTTCATCTTTATTGATAGAAAGCTCCAACAGCAGCCAGAGCTGAAACAAACCACAGAAAAGACAAAAAACTAAAAATCAAAGGAAACAATAATAATGCGACAAAGACGATCCCACAAGAGTCAGAAGAATTAAATTCAAAACATAATAAAACAGCAAAAAGCTCAAGAGGTCAAATCTGGATTTGTTCTGGTTATTGAAATAAATAAATTAAGTCTTGGCCCTGATATTTGACCAAAAATTAAAGTCTAAATAACTAGAAGACGCTTGTCCAACAAGATGGCCGCCCTGCCATCACTATGGAAACCAAAGGAATTCACAGATTTTTCAAAACTTTTTTAAGAGCAGACGAGCGAGCGAGCGAGCGAGCGAGTGAGTGAGTGAGCGAGTGAGCGAGCGAGCGAGCGAGCGAGCGAGTGAGTGAGCGAGCGAGCGAGCGAGCGAGTGAGTGAGTGAGTGAGCGAGTGAGTGAGCGAGTGAGCGAGTGAGCGAGTGAGTGAGTGAGTGAGCGAGCGAGTGAGTGAGTGAGCGAGCGAGTGAGCGAGCGAGCGAGTGAGCGAGTGAGTGAGTGAGTGAGCGAGCGAGTGAGTGAGCGAGCGAGCGAGCGAGCGAGTGAGTGAGTGAGTGAGCGAGTGAGTGAGCGAGTGAGTGAGCGAGTAAGTGAGCGAGTGAGTGAGTGAGCGAGTGAGTGAGCGAGCGAGTGAGTGAGTGAGTGAGTGAGCGAGTGAGTGAGTGAGTGAGCGAGTGAGTGAGCGAGTGAGTGAGCGAGTAAGTGAGCGAGCGAGCGAGTGAGCGAGTGAGTGAGCGAGCGAGTGAGTGAGTGAGTGAGTGAGCGAGTGAGTGAGTGAGTGAGCGAGTGAGTGAGCGAGTGAGTGAGCGAGTAAGTGAGCGAGCGAGCGAGTGAGTGAGCGAGCGAGCGAGCGAGTGAGCGAGCGAGTGAGCGAGTGAGTGAGTGAGCGAGTGAGTGAGTGAGTGAGTGAGTGAGCGAGCGAGTGAGCGAGTGAGTGAGTGAGCGAGTGAGTGAGCGAGTGAGTGAGCGAGCGAGCGAGTGAGCGAGTGAGTGAGCGAGTGAGTGAGTGAGCGAGCGAGTGAGTGAGTGAGTGAGCGAGCGAGTGAGTGAGTGAGTGAGTGAGTGAGTGAGCGAGTGAGTGAGTGAGTGAGTGAGTGAGTGAGCGAGTGAGTGAGTGAGTGAGCGAGTGAGTGAGTGAGTGAGTGAGTGAGTGAGCGAGTGAGCGAGTAAGTGAGCGAGTGAGGGAGTGAGTGAGTGAGTGAGTGAGTGAGTGAGTGAGTGAGTGAGTGAGTGAGCGAGTGAGTGAGGGAGTGAGCGAGTGAGTGAGTGAGTGAGTGAGTGAGTGAGTGAGTGAGCGAGCGAGCGAGCGAGTGAGTGAGCGAGTGAGTGAGTGAGCGAGTGAGTGAGCGAGCGAGTGAGTGAGTGAGTGAGCGAGTGAGTGAGCGAGTGAGCGAGTGAGCGAGCGAGTGAGTGAGTGAGCGAGTGAGTGAGTGAGTGAGCGAGCGAGTGAGTGAGTGAGCGAGCGAGCGAGCGAGCGAGCGAGTGAGTGAGTGAGCGAGTGAGTGAGTGAGTGAGCGAGCGAGCGAGTGAGCGAGCGAGTGAGTGAGCGAGTGAGTGAGTGAGCGAGCGAGCGAGCGAGCGAGCGAGCGAGTGAGTGAGCGAGCGAGTGAGTGAGCGAGTGAGTGAGCGAGTGAGTGAGTGAGCGAGTGAGTGAGCGAGTGAGCGAGTGAGTGAGTGAGTGAGTGAGTGAGTGAGTGAGTGAGTGAGTGAGTGAGCGAGCGAGTGAGTGAGCGCGGTGAGCGAGCGAGTGAGTGAGTGAGCGAGTGAGTGAGTGAGTGAGCGAGCGAGTGAGTGAGTGAGCGAGCGAGTGAGCGAGTGAGTGAGTGAGTGAGCGAGCGAGTGAGTGAGTGAGTGAGCGAGTGAGTGAGCGAGTGAGTGAGCGAGCGAGCGAGTGAGCGAGTGAGTGAGTGAGTGAGCGAGTGAGTGAGCGAGTGAGTGAGCGAGTGAGTGAGTGAGCGAGTGAGTGAGTGAGCGAGCGAGTGAGTGAGTGAGTGAGTGTTACCGGTCTCGTCCAGGCGCATGATGTCGTCCCTCAGGTTGGTTCCTCCGGTCGTCGCCATCACTTTGACTCCGCCCAGATGTTTGCTGAGCTGGATGCAGATCTGGCTCATCTGCAGCGCGAGCTCCCGCGTGGGCACCATGACGATGGCTGCAGCACAGCGCAGAGACATTTCAGCGGCGGCTCCCCGCGGGCAGCAGCAGGCGGGGGAGGGGCCGACTCACCCTGTATGTGGTCCTTCTTCAGGTCTATCCGCTCCAGCAGCGGGATCAGGTAGGCGCCGCTTTTCCCCGTCCCGTTCTTTGCTCGCGCCAGGATGTCGCGCCCGGACAGCGCGATGGGAATGCTCTCCTCCTGCAGAGGAAGTGACATCATCACCATCAATCAGAGGAAACCTCAGACTGAATGAACGCAGCTTCATGCTTCTGTGTGACGGAGCAAAACAAACACTGAAAAACAGTCAACTAACTTTAAGCAGATAAATTACAACAGTCCTCCCACTGTTTTCACTAGTGTCACCTACTGGCCAGGAGGAGAACTGCAGCATCCAAACCACACCAAATTAATATAAAGTGAGCAGCTCAATTTAAAGTCAGCCAGCTGACAATATCAGGTTTTATGTTATAAATTGACTTTAAGCTTCATAACGAAACCTTCAGTTAGTTAGCTGCAGCTTTATTAGCAAGTTTCAGAACAGCATCCAGGCTTTTCCACACAGTCGGGTGTTAAAGAAAAACAAGACCGTACAATATATTGTACACAAATGATCGGTTTTAGAAAAGTTTTCCCCCAAATTCACCCTGGGCATTGATTTAAACATGCCAAACCCACCGGGGGCAGCGAAGCCCAAAGCTAAAACCTGTCAGCCAATCAGATCGTTTTTTGCAGACTGCAATGCACAGGACCATTAATCTGTTTTCTATGAACACTCGCCAATCAGAGTTCTCTCAAATCTCCACTTTGGTCAGTTTTCATGAATGTTTTTAGTGACATAAAACCGAGTCATGTGGATGTTTTCTCAAAGCGAAGCGTTGAAGCTGAACCTGGATCGGCGACGGTTTCTCCCAGCCCATCTCAAAGATTCCCATCAGGAGTTCCCTTTTCAGGCAGTAATCTTCAAACTCGTTCCCCTTGGTTGCCGTGACGTCCTGCAGCAAAACACAAACACAACATCAGAACCGGCCGCCCCAAAAGGAACCGGGTTTGCTGCGGCCGGGCCGACACTCACTGAGGTTTTGACCCTGTTGTCCTTCGGGGGGAGCTGTAGGCATTTCTTCCAGTCGTCTCCAAACTTGATTCCTCCGCTGTCCTGGTTGCTCCCGGCTGGATTCTTTCCTTGAGTTGATGCTGGGGGTCCGGCGGCAGGTTTGGTCTGTCCTTTGAGCTGCCCGTTCTGCTTATTCAGTCCCATCATGACCGGACCCAGGTTTTCTGTTCGGGGTGTTGCCATTTTTCCTGAACTTCTGTTTGTTTTTTTTAGATTTTTGTCTCTTAAATTCTGTCGTCAGTAAAAAAAAATCCTAAAGTTTAATAAAGCGTTCAACGATATTCTCTGTGTGTCCGAAGCGCTTTGCAGAGAAATGGCTCAGTAATATTTACAAATAAACACGAAGCTGCAGCTCATCACAGTGACCGCTGCACAGCCGACAAAAACAAAACTAGTTTTTACACAAAAACTCTTCCAAACGAAGAGAAATCTGCAACTATGTGCAGAAATAGACTCGTCCACGATATAGAAAAATTATACGTGAACAAGCATCGAAGTGGTTCCAGTCCTGAAACAGAACAACTAGGGCAATCTGCACCAAAATGAGTTTCTATCGTCAATAATATCTCTGCTTTTTACTGCCAGTCCCAGAGAGCTGCTGCATGTCCCTGATCCAGAGAACAAGAAGTCCAACTTTGTACACGGTCGTCTCCAGAAAGCCAGTATTTCATTTATCTCCACTGGGAGAGGTTCTGTTTCTTCATGTGTGGAAAAAAATAAAGATCCAACAAGGATTTTAGTCCAAAGCAGAGAAGCTTTCCACCCTTGTAAAGTCCTCAGTGCGTTTCTGTTGTGCTCCGGGTTTATTCCTCCTCCTCTCAGTCGACAGCAGGGATGATCCGGTCGGCCCGAAGCGTGCAGCGCCGCAAACTCCTCGCCTCCAAAAGATCCAGACCGACGACTCAAACGTCCCACCTGGAAACAAGCGATCCAAACAAAAATCTTCAGACTCCAAAGGACAGGATGAATCAACAATCAACTTTCAAAAAGCCACGGCGCTCCAGCTTTCTGTCTGAAAACGCTGAAGACTGAAAACCAAACGGTGAACGTTCAGAGGCAGCGAAAACAGAAAAACAACCTTAGGATGTGCTGAGATGTTTTATTTGTCTACTAACTTTAAAAAAAAGATTTTTCTTCTCAGATCCTCTTTCAGAAACCTGAAGCAAACATTCAACACCATCAACAGATTCTGGGTCGCCTCCCAGGTGAAAAAACACAAGTTTTTTTTTTGTTTTTTTTTTACTTTTTCTCAGCTTTAAAATAACCTTTTAAGTAGAAAACAGTTCTGTGGCCATTTCTACATAAAAATGCAGAAATTGATTATTTTAATCACATTTTTGTATCTAAACCGCATTGAAAAAGTATCTTCGTTAAAGGCTGTTTGCACTGTAGATAAATCAGTTTAATAGTCAAATCATTGCTCTTATCGATTTTATTTGGCCCTGTTAGCCTTTCAGGATGAGGCCGGTGGAGTTTGCTGTTTTGATGCTCGCAGGTAAACACGGCAGGTGTGTCCAGATTCACCTGCTGGGAAACACAAACAACTGAGAAACAGAAACAAAGTGATTCACTGAGGGACTCACGTTGCTTAAGCTACGGCTAATCACAACTTAACGTCTACTTTCACTTTAACAACCACAGCTAAATTAAAACTACTCTCTGAATCGATATGTAAATTTGTATTAACATACATTCCAGTTTGTGGGGGGCACTGGTGGGTTTTCTGGTTCTGTTTGGTTCGGGAAGCTTTAAGGTGGCGTTGAAACTGTGCGTCAGGAAAGATATTAGCAGCTAACGGCTAAAACAAACTTAAACTAAAATCCGAGCGCACACACTTCGATTAAAAACCCCACAATTTACTCATTTAAGTGCAGATAAAGTTATAAAAACCTACTTTTTGATCATACTGTACAAACTTTGACCTTTATTTGGTTATGAATATTTGACGCTTCATAAATCTAACACAACAGCGAGCCGTTAGCACGGAGCTAACGTGCCAACAACCGGATTTTAACCGGCAGTGAGCCCTCCAAAGTCCGATAAACATACCTGAAAAGCTGCGTTACTGTCCGAGCGATGCTCTGAGTGCGGTGAATTAACAATTTTCTTCTAAATGAGCTGAAAATATCTTGAAATAATTCGTCTCTATTGTGTTTCTTCTTCCTTTAAATCAACATGGTCGCCTCCTCTTCTTCGATGAAACCCTGCGGCTTATTATCAGCCGTTTAAGGTGACGTTGCTGCCACCTGCCGCCAGGCTGGAGTATGACGCCCTGAACCCACATGAATAAGAAAACTTATATTATACAAGTTATGTTAACTTATAGTAACAACAGTTTTATTTCATTGTTTCTTGTTACAAAGTGACTGTTCCAAACTGAATAAATGCTATAAAATTAGAAGTTCGTTATGAACTTAAAAGTCAAAATATGTGTAATAATCGTTTTTGCATATCTATACCAGGTGGTGGCGCTAAACTTGGCCATTGATGGTGAAATATTATTTAACTTGTTTTATAAATTGCAACATTTATTTACTGATTACTTTCTCCACACTATTATGCAGAATATGGAGGACTTATTCTGCTAAAAATAACAAATAACTACAACATAATTTCCTAATTTAGAATTAAACAAGGGGAAACAATATGTAGTTTTGTCTTTTAGTTTTGCTTTGTATTTCTTTATAACTCTTATAAAGCAGGTTGCAGCCTTGTTGCTGAAAATGTGCCTTACTTTACCTAATTTATTTATTAATTAGATACAAAAATAATGAATGTAAACATCAGATCAGACCCAAAAGGTTCTGCTAGTTCTGGTTTATTGCACTCTGCAGTTTGTTCTCTTCACAAACAGCTGTAAACATCAAATTACATGTTGGGTCCAAACAAACTATATTAATAACAACACAGTTCATGTGGAAGGAACTTCCTGTTTCCTGCTGGATGCTGGAGGAGGAGCAGGAGGTTCTGCTAAAGGCACGGCGGGTCAGAATCAGAACCTTCACAGGAGAATTAGTTTTTACTTTAGGAGTGTTTCAGGACCTGAGGACAGAATTTCTCCAGCGGTTTTGAATTTTCCTCTAATCAGAACCTGGAACCCGTCACTCGGATCCAGTTTTGCTGTGCAGTTCAGGTTTAAAGTGCCGTTTTACTTCCAGTGATGGAAGAACCGACCCGACAACGCAGCGCTAAGTCTGCGGCGGCGGCGTGGCGCCGTCTGGCTGGAAGACTGTCCGGATCTTTGACACGCAGATGTCGCAGGCGAACTGCGTCTCCTTGCAGATCTGCACCAGGCTGAGGAAGCCGTGAGGAAGGTCGTCCACCACCGTCAAGGTCACCGGCTGGCCCATCGCACGCAGCTTCTTCGCAAACATCACCGAATCGTCCAGCAAGGCGTCCAGCGCCGACGCCTGCAGGGAAACAAGGCAACCGGTCAGTCCAAACTTCACCGTGTTTCATCATCAACACCGAGTGGAGAAGGACTGAAAAGTGTGGAGTGCACATATGTTCAAGCAGTGGGCTTGGAACCTGTAAACTCACACCCACTGGTGAAATTATAAAATTATTTTCAAATAGCATTTAACAGATTATGTTGCAAAACTTCTGGGGGTGGGACTTCCCCTGAAGGCATTTTGTGTGAGCGGACGTTAGCTGCAGCTCTTTTATTGGCCAGTGCAGGACAAGTCGAGCGTTTCTATTGGTCTGTGAGTTCTGCCTCCCAAACAAAACCCAACTTTCTTTCACTTGGGTTTTTATGATGGAGCACAGACCGTAAGATCCTGGACCATAAACTGGTTCTGAACAGGTTCTGGTTCTGCTGGAAGTTTCTTCCTGTGAAACAACAAGTATAGAAATAACCTGAGCTTTTCCTTCCTGTCTTACCACGAGGTGAACCGGCGGTAGGCCCTTCAGCAGGTCGGGCGGCGCCAGCAGAGGAGACACAAACGGGTTTCTGATGACGGGGCAGGACGTGGGCAGGACGTAGGCGAGGCATTCGGACCGCAGCGGCTCAAAGCCGTCCGGGTAGTGAAGGATGTCAGGAGCGGCGGGCCTGGGGGCGGCGGGCCTGGGGGCGCCGGCCGACGCCCGGCGGTGGTCGGCGCCTTGGCGCGGCGTGGACCGGGCCGGGTCCAGAAAGGACTGGATCCAGCTGGAGGCTCCCTGGGTGAGGTCGCTGAGCAGCAGGACCGTGTCCCGGCCCAGAGCGCTCAGGCTGCCGCGCCGCTCTGCAGGCTGGACCGTCTGGAAGTCCGAACCTGCAGGGACAGGGCCGGGTCAGTACCAGCAATCAAGTTTACTACTGTTAGCACATTTCAGCAACAAGGACGTTCAAAAAGCTTCAAAACACAAATGAGAAAAACGACCATTTTGATGAGTCATCACCAAAATCACAGGCATAAAATAAGTTCATCAATGTTTATTTATGATGTTTGTGTGAGCGGACGTTAGATGCTCACACAAACTGGATTTAAACTAATGAATTTAAAGGAACTCAGGGTTTCGGCTGTTTTTCAGTTTTCCGGAAGTTTGTTCCAGATCTGTGGTGCATAGAAGCTGAATGCTGCTTCTCTAAGTTTGGTTTTCACTTTAAATTATTGAAGCCACTTTAAATTATCAGTAGAATCACATAAATCCAGTTTTATTTATGAAGCAGAAATCTGACACACAACGCTTCCTGCAGCCGGTTAGAATCGCTCCTACTCAGAACATGCACACTTTTTTTTTCTTACACAAAATCTCTCGGTCTGCTCAGTCCTGCGTTAGGGCGTCCTGTCACTTTAAATCCAAAAGCTGCTACAGGCTGGCAAGTATAAACTCAACGTTTTCACTCGCCTGTCAAAATGGCTGCAAACGAACGTTCAATTAGCTGGCCAATCAGACGCTTGGGTTTTTCTGAAGAAACACAGAGCAGCAGATCAAGTTATTTCATTTAAACCTTTAGCACAGGAAGCAAGAAGCTGCTCTAAAAATAACGATTTTAATTAGATTCACAAATTTATATTCAAGAATAAATGAAGACCTTTTTGATATATTAAAATGAATTTCAGTATTTCCAGTTTCATTTAAGTCATCACATATATGACTGTAAGAAGATAATTAAGAACCGGTTTAATTAAATAATTATGTCTTTAAAAAGGTGAATATTTTTTAATTTCCTGCTGGTTGCAGAAAGCGGTGGGCAGGGGGCCTCGGATCCCGGCCCCGGGAAAAGCTCTGAGCGGCCCTGGAGGCTGGTACTAACCCCCCTGCCCTCCCTCATCGTCCCGTTTACACATAATTCTCCTCGCTGACCTGCGTTCCGCTCCAGCGGCGCCGGAAGGTTCTGCTGGGCTAAACGAGCCGGGAAGCTCCGCCCACATACCTGCGTAGGCGTGGATGCACCTGGCGAGGACGCTCAGAGGCAGCAGGGGGTCGATGAGCGTGAGCAGGCGGGAGGGCGAGGCGTCGGTGGTGAGCAGGGTGGCGGGGTAGGCGGCCATGATGCCGTCGGGGACGCGGATGCCGGCGGTCAGCGCCCGCATGGAGACGGTGATGCAGAGGTTTCCCCCGGCGCTGTCCCCGGCCAGGCAGACCCGGTCCGCCGTAGAACCTGGACCAAACACATCCATCCGTTTCCACCACATACACAGAAACAACAGGTCAAAACAGGCCTGTCTCGTAAATGAGATGATGATGACAAAAACAAGACACTCAGTTATTTCATCATTTCTTTTCAATTTCTTCAAACATTTTATTTATTCTTTAATTTATTTCATAACTTATTTAATTCATGTTTTGTTATTTTTTTATTTTCTACTTTATTTCATAATTTATTTCAAGGATGAAACAAAATAGAAAATAAACAAGTGAAATTATGAAATTAATAGAAGAACACATGAAAAAGTAATAAATGAGAAAATAAAGTTGAGAATAAAATAAATAAATAAGAAATAAAAGATTATTAAATAAACAAAAATTTAAAAATGAAATAAATTTCAAAATAAATGAGGGAATAAACAAAAGAGATGCATTTGAAAAAAAATAAAAAAATACAAATCAGATACATTTTGCTTCATTAAAAGAAGTTTTTATATTTATTTAGGTTTTGACTAAAAACAAAAAAAGACTTAGTTGGTTCTGAGCAAGAAAAACAGGATTTCTGTCTTTCCTAGAAAATCTGGTGTTTAGTAAAGTTTAATAAATGAACTGAAAGCAGCAAAGTAACCGGCTTGTTGCTCAGAGTTTCTGATCTGCACTTTACAAAACAAGCAGAGCTGCAGGTTTCACTGTTGTCACTGAATCTGGAGGAAACTTGCAAACCAGCGCTGGAAAAACTCCCGCTTTCTCCGTGCTGCAGGTCCAAACAATTTTCTGAAAACTGTTTATCAGTTTATCCGAAAACACGGCGGCCGGAACGCGCCGGTAGCGCCAACAAAGATCACATTTCTCCCGCAGGTGAAACCGGACCTTACGGGCCTTACGGGCTCAGTTTCACCTGCAGCAGATCCGGCCGTTCTTCACAGGACAGACTGGGTTTTTAATCAGAGCAGCAGATGAAAATCTATGATTTAGTCCGACCGCAGATGTTCTGGTTCTGACCTCACAGGTTCTGCAGAGGTCGGGTTACGTTTGTTTAGAGTAAATTTATTCCTCACAGCTTCTGATTTCAGCTTCCCAGGAGCTTTTCTGGATGGTTCCTTTGGTCACTTTATATTTTATAATGTTGATTGAAAAACAGATTCTATTATATGATTAAAAAACAATTATAATTACAAATTTATGAAATTTCTGGTTACTGGATGAATCGACAGAAGAGCTGACAGATTACTTTGTTTTTTATGGAGTATTATTGATCATGGCCGGGCAGCAGTCGGGGGAAACGTCTTGCCGTTCCCTGACGTGAAGGACGTACCCAGCAGGTGGCAGTGTTTCAGCGCCCAGCAGTAGGCGTAGAAACATTCCTCCAGCGCCCGAGGAAACGGAGCTTCGGGCGACAGAGAGTAGTCGACGGACAGGATCGGGACGCTCAGCTCCTTCGACCAGTTACGGAGGTAATTCTGAAGAAAAAACACATAGCATGGTGATTCGATCTGAAACCGTTAATCACGATTAATCAACATCCAAACAATTAATCGTCAACTGGGATAAACAGACTGAAATGAAGGCTACTTGCTGAAATAACGCCACAAACAGAGCTGCAAATAAACTCAAACTCTACAAAAATATGTAGAAAATTTGAATTCAAAATGAAACAAATATATTTTTCTGTAAATCTGGTGTATCCAGAAGTCCAGTGTAGCTTCAGCTTCACATTCTGTAAAACAGAATCCCATTATTAATCTGTTAATCCAACAACTAATCACCAGATCAGCTGCAGAAGCTTCCTTTGTTACAAATCACTACAGGAATGTTGTTAAAACATTTATTTTCTTATTTAAAAAGGTTTTGACTTGTTCATTTGGTGCTTTAGTGTTTTTTTCTAATATTGTATCAATAAGTTTAAGTGGTTACATAAAACTTATGGAGAACTTCTCCATTTTTTCTGTTTAATCAATTAATCATCAGAATAAAAAAATAATCATGCAGTTATTTATGCATTGCCATTTGAATTTATTTACAAAAATAATTTCAATTGATCAGAATAATCAATTATAATAATCAATAACTTTGTTCTGTTGTGCTGCAGACTCTGTCAGCTTTTCTCAATATTGTACAAAAAGGATAAAAGAAAAATCTGCTTGATGAGCCAATTTTTATTTTTACCAAATTAATCGGTTAATCAATAATCATCAGACTAATCGATTAATCATCAGAATGAGTGCCTAAAGCAATAACTGCAGCCCAGATCGATTCCTAAACCTCCACGCTGCGTTCGCTTCACCTCGTGGGAACGGGACGTCTGGGCGACGAAGCCGCCTCCGTGGAAGTGGATGAGTAGCCATGGCGACGGCGGCTTCCTGTGCACCCATGGCAGACGGGGCGAGGCGATGGGCGCCACGTCACCCGCGGAAAACTCCAGCAGCTCCTCGCTGTCCTGAAATATGACAGGAGCGCCGCGTTGTTGCAACGGAGGGAGAAACAGCAGCAAAACCAAATATTTATCATGTCTGACATTAAAACTGTTTCAAGTCGAGTATTTGGTAAAACTGCAATGGAACTATCAAAAAAATAAATCCACATTCTAAATCGCTAAAAGAAAAAAAGTTAAACAAATCTGCCATCTGTCAGATTTGCTAGCAACACATCAGGATTTATGAAACATGCAAAAGAAAAGTCTTTCCCAAATAAATCAAATGAAAAAACGCGATGTTTGTTTGCACATGAAGATGTTGAGCTGTTACCAGATCCTCAAACCTCAGAGACGTTCTGATTGGTCGGCTCTGTTGGCTAAAGGTTTGTGACTCTAAAGAACCAATCAAAACCATGAGCTGCGCCGGCGCTAACCCACAACAGCAACAAGGAGTTCAGAGGAAACTAAAGCCACAGCGCTGCATTCTGGGGAACCAGCTCACCTGGCCGACCCGCAGGTCGTAGGAGATCAGCCTCATGTGGACCGGCCCCGGGCCCCAGTGGGCCACGGGAGGCGACACGCTGGTGGACAGCGTGGGGTCGGAGGCCAGAGGGAGCCGCAGGCTTTCTGGAGGCACCGTCAGCGTGAGGTTGACCTGAACCGGGTTGGAGGTGATCCGAGTGAAGCCCTGGGAGGAAAACAAACACCAGAATGAAAGTCAGCACCGCAGCAGAGCCGCTCCGCCGATCTGGTGACCTCAGCAGCTTTTGACCCTGCCTACTGATAAAATGTTGGACTCTGTGATGTTCCAGAAGGACTTCCAGAAGTGCAAGTCCAGATTCTGGGTGATGCGTTCGAACTCGGCGCCTCGCAGCTCTGGGTCGATGACGTACTTCCCTGAGGTGAGGACGGACAGAGCGGCCGTTCCTGCAGGAAGAGGAAAACGCATCACATCGAAACGGGAGCGTCGGTTTTCACATCAACACAGGAACAAAGTCGGAACATTTGTAATATTTCCAGCTGTTTGGCTCGGAAACCAGACAGCTGCACTGATCTGAGCGCATGAATCTATGTGCAGGAAGAATAATTAGATTCATGTTTAAATCTCACGAACCAGAGTTCACTTCAGCCGAGGTTTGGAGGACCAGAGGTCAGAGGTCGTTCACGCCTCACCGACCGGACCGGACTTTATAGGCAGACGGACCGGAGTTGGACTAAAGTGGACAGAACAGGGAATAAAGCGAGAGCCTCACCGATGCCAGACTGCTGTCTGCCGTAGATCTCTCCGTAGGAAACCATGCTGATGACGATGGTCTGGAGGAAAGGTCGCAGGGCAGGAGAGTACTGCCAAACCAGACAATCCATCAGCAAAAAGCTTCATTTATCCCACAAAATGACAATTCAGTCTGCAGCTCTCTGGACAACATAACCAAAAATAAAAATACACTCAATCTGATGCAACCGTTTCTATGACGGCGTGTTTGGCTGTTAGACACAGAAAAACTGGGAAAGTTTTTTCTATAGCAAAGTCAAAAATTTGCTAAAGAAAAAAAAACAGATATTTTGAGAATAATCTCAGAAAGTTTCCGACATTTTTGAGTTTCAGTTTCCAAAAGTCAAAACTTTGCTCAGGACGTTTTTCTTTTTGAGGAATTTTCTGAGTTTTAAAAGTTGAAAAATGTCAAATATTCTACAATTCATAAAACACAAAATAGATAAATAAATAAATCAATGCAGCAGCAGGTAAGGGATGAAGGTGTGGCGATGAAGACAGGTGGGAGCGTAACTCTGCGGCTCACCTGGAAGCCCAGGCAGCGTCCGTAGAAGCAGGCCTTGTGCATGGAGCTGTACTCCTGAACGAAGCGGTCGCTCAGGTCGCCGTCCTGCGCCAAGTACAGCTGCCCGTGGGCGTTGTCGTGGATGAGCCGCTGGGCGAGGTGCAGCAGCGCCCGCAGCTGGCAGAGGGCGCTGCAGTACTCCTCTATCTCGGTGGCGTTGTGCTCCGCCCTGAAGAAGGCTCCTCTGCAGTTGGAGGCGATGTAGCGACCTTTATGGATGATGTGCTCCAGGCAGGACTGCAACACCTGCAGGCAGCAGAGGTGAAATATTATTTTAGTTACCAATTAACTCCATCGATCTTCTATATTCCCCTGAGGCGTGACTGTGTGCATGTTTGCTTGTCCTGTTTATCTCTGTGATCGACTGGAGACCAGTTCACGGTGACCCCCTCTCCACTATGACCCCGCCTCTCCACTGTGACCCCGCCTCTCCACTATGACCCCGCCTCTCCACGGTGACCCCGCCTCCAGTGACCCCGCCTCTCCAGTGACCCCGCCTCTCCACGGTGACCCCGCCTCTCCACGGTGACCCCGTCTTCCACAGTGACCCCGCCTCTCCACAGTGACCCCGCCTCTCCAGTGACCCCGCCTCTCCACGACCCCGCCTCTCCGCGATGACCCCGCCTCTCCACGGTGACCCCGCCTCTCCAGTGACCCCGCCTCTCCACTGTGACCCCGCCTCTCCACGGTGACCCCGCCTCTCCACGGTGACCCCGCCTCTCCACGGTGACCCCGTCTTCCACAGTGACCCCGCCTCTCCACTGTGACCCCGCCTCTCCACAGTGACCCCGCCTCTCCACGGTGACCCCGCCTCTCCAAGTGAACTCTGGTGTGGTTTGAATGCGGATGTGAACGCCGCCTGACCGGAGATCGCTCCAAAAGCAGGAAGTGGACTGCAGCGCAGGGCATTCTGGGTAAATACAACCAAAATCCTCCAATCACTAAAATCTGACGCCTCCATTTTTGTTTGTTGTCATCTTCAGAGGATTTTTCATGGTTTCCTTCAGAGGTTCTTGGCACAGCGCCCCCACAGGTGAGGAAGGGAACAGATGTTTCAAAGCATTTGGATCATTTGACTCAAAATGTTGCAGTTTTGCTCTCCAACCATCCGAGTCTACCAGAACTTCCAACAGATCCTGAAAGGCCGCCTCACCTTGACCAGCGTTCGGTATCCGTTTCCAGGTGTCTGGGCATCGAAGTCGTAGTGATGGTAGACGGCGGTGAAGCTGGCCACCAGCGGCTCCAGAGCGCGGCCATGTTGGCGAATCTTCCTCATACACGCCACCAGGCGCTTGGTCACGGTGCCGTACGGCGACTCGGACGGGCCGCTCAGGACGCAGATGTTCTCCTCACAGACCTTATCCAGAGCTGTGAACAGAGCCAAGTGGTCCATCTCTGAGTCTGGGAGAGGAAGCAGAGAAAGGAAGCTTCAGCTGCGGTTTACATCAGCCTGTGGCGCTATCGGCGGACATGTGACGCGGTCGGTATCTGCGGAGAGGAAGACGATCATCAAGGTTAAACACACAGGTCCTGCTGGGCTCATCTCCGTTACTCACTGCTGCGCTGATTAGTCTGAACTCGTCTTATCTGTTGGGTCAAGGATTGAATTCTCAAGGCAGGACTTTGAACCGATCAGAGAAGCGGACCGGGTCTGCTCCAGAGCAGAATACAGGAAATATTCACACCTTTCGACAATTTACCATGTTACCATGTCGTCCTCTGGCTGCAGCTCTACTAACCATTAATCCGTTATTATGAAGATCAAAATACTAATTAGATTTAAAAACTGACACATTCTACAATTTTTTGTTTACATAAAAAAATGCACAAATATTTTAGTTCCTTTTTTAATAAGAAATCAAACATTTTATTGCAAACATCAGCAGCTTTTTGATGAATGTTTGATCATTTGTAGCAAAGACGCATCTGCAGCTAAAAAACACTTTAACATAAACGTCTAAAAGCCATTTCTGCTTCCATCAATACAGCACCGGGCTGATCTGGTGATGAATGACAGGCGCTTACGTTCCGTGTCAAAAGGTTGAGACCTTTTCCTGTTGTGGGCAACGGGGCCCGGCGAACACCCGTGGTTAAACGGACGGCGGAGTCCGGCGGTAACAGGCGCTTAAATTCCGTGACAGGAAGAAAGGAAGAAAAAGGGCAAAAAAAAAAAAAAACACTTGGTATTTTATTCTATGTTGCATGCCTTTGTGTTTTGTGTTTATGATGTAAAGCACTTTGAAATGCCTTGTAGCTGAAATATGCTATACAAATAAATTTTGATTGATTGATTGATTAACTGACTAATAATTAATAATTAGATAGAAAAAGTAAATTAATATTAGATTTTCTTTTAGGTGAAGCTAAAAACGCCTCTGAAGGAGTTTTGGGTTGAACAGCTTTTCAAATAGAAAAGACTCTTTAAATGTTTATATTTTTGTAGTTTTGGCTCAATTATTCCTCTGACTGCGTTTTTTCTGTTAGAATCCATTTAATGATTAATCAATGACTGAATTGGTGAGGAATATTAGTTGACGAACTCGGACCAGTGGACGTTTCCGAGTTCGATTGCAGCTGCATGTAACATCAAGAGGAAGCACGAATCATTTCACTTCCATTTGACAGCTGCTCTCTACTTGCTGTTGGTTTTTCACATTGCAGTTTGTGGCTGAAAAGCGAGAAGATGTGAAAAAGCTTCTGAGGAGTGAAAACTTTTGCGATGCTGAACATCAGAAGCAAAATAATCGTAAACAATCCGACAGCCGTGGCGTGAGAGCGACTATCAGAGACTCTGGTTTATCTTTCTGTTGATTTTCCTGAATGTTGTGTCACTCAGATCGATAAAGAGAAACATCTGAAACTCTAACAGAAAAGCTACAAAAAAATCCTGCGTTAATCTTTTAAAATGAGGAGGAAATGTCGGGTAATCAGTATTTGATTAGAGTCAAACGAGAAGTCTGAATGTTTTCTGAGAAACACTGACAGCTTCCTGCAGAAACACGTGCAAATATCCATGCAGGGACCATTTTCTCACAACAAAACATTATGATTCATGTCTTTTAAATTTTAAATCCTGAATAATCTGTGCAGAAATATTTTACAACAGGTTTGAACTCATCCATGTTCCTGCCACACACAGCTCTTAGAACGGAAATCGCTCCTTCCATTAACGTGATGCATATGCTCAAAACATTAACCAAATCTGATCTTCTTCATCTTATTATTATTATTCATTCCTTCATTTAGAAATGTCAGTTTCAAACTAAATATTGAATTAGGAAGCTAAACAATTAGCTGCCTTTTATTTCATTTGGATACTTGACTTACTAGCTAAATGTTTAGCAAATATTTGGGAGCTAAATATTTACATCCCAAATAGATATTTAGGTGGAAGATACATTTTCTGCTTCCTAACTAAATATTTAGATTGATAAGCTACAAAGTTCTGGTGAAAGGGAATCCTCATTTATTCTGGACAATTTCCTGCTCCAACATCTTGGAGACAGTTTAACACAACGAGGTCTATCAAGACGTGAATTCAGAGAACTGACCTCAACCTGATGGGAAACCTAATGTAAGCCGGGTCCAACATCAGTGTCTGACCTCAAGAATTCAAATAAACACTCCGAAACGAGGAGTTGGCCTGGGATTCATAAACACTGTGAAACGTAACTACCACGTAGTTTGTAGGCGTCATTAACTTCCGGTCCACCGGAGGCAGAGAAGCTTCCTGAAACTCTGCTTCCAAAGTTTCAGCGAGTTTAAAGTTTTTCTGTCCCACTTTGACCCGAGCGCTTCCTGGACTGGGAGCTCCTTGTTCCCAGCGGAGAGTCCCAGTTTCCCCAGAATAAAAGCCGCTGCGGTCCCTTCAGTCGATCAGCTGATGGATGACGTGGAGCTGAACGGAACGGAACCGCTTCCTGTTCAGAATGATCCGGTTCTGATCATTTTATTTACCGATTCACTGTTAACCAGCGCGACCATTTCCCCCTGGAGAAACTTCGCCCACGGAGCTCCGTGAAGCGGCGGAGACCCACGGAACCGAGCCGCGTCGAGCTGGCGCGTTAAAACCTCCCTTAAACGCAACACGGTGCGGTTCTGAGGGGTTTTAAACCCGCGTGGAAACTCACCAAGCCGCATCTTCTTCTTCTTCCTTCATGTTCTGACGGTTCCTGTCCGCGCGCTCCCGCGTGCGGAGGAATGCGCGCACCCCGGGCTGTTAGCTAACAGAAGCAACAGTTAGCATAAAATAAAATTAAATAAAATAGGAAATTAAATATAAAAAATTAAAATATAAGAAATTAAATTAAATTTAAAATAAAATGAAATAAAATAGAAAATAAAATTGAAAAAAGAAAAGAAATAAAACAAAACTAATTTGAAATGAAGGAAAATAAAACACAATCAAATTAAAATAAAATAAATCAAAGAATAAAAATTAAATGTAAAGTTTATCATACATAAAAGTCAATTAAATTAAGGGATTAAATTCAATTAAACAGATAAAAATTGAATGAAACTAAATTAAAATGAAAGTAAATTACATTATGTTGGACCAAATAAATCAAAATAAAAAGAAATTAAACTAAAATAACTTAAGCCTTAATAAAATTTAGATCTCACATTAGCAATGAATCAATATATTCATGTTAAAAAATTATTTTTATATTTTTTTAAGTTAAATTCCAGACTTTTTCTTGTGATGTATAATTATCTCTCTGGGAGTTAATATTTAAAACTTTGTATGTTTATGTAAAGACACATTTAAAACAACATGTTTCATCTGAAAGAGAAATAAAAAAAATAGCAAAATTATGCCCAGGTCATGTAAAATTAAGTTAATTAAAGTATTTTAACATGCAGAGTTTGTTAAAACACTGTATGGCTCAACAAATTCAACTAAACCTGATAAAAAGAAACTTAAACATTGTTTTCACACAAACTGATAAAAATCACACAACATATGCACATCATAAATCTGTGAAAAACACCAAGGATGACAGGTTGTAGTGAAAGCAGATTTTTTTCTCCAGCAGCCATTAGACGATGGTCTGAAGGATGAATCTGGGGTCAGCGCTGTCGATTTATTCTGGAAGAGCCTTTGTGTCAGGCTGGGATCCGGCTGGAAAAGTATTTGAAATAATCAATACGAGATGCAGAAGATTTCAGTGAAGAGCAGCAGGTTGTAAAAGTTTAACTGATTTATTTTAAGACAGAATGAATGGAATGTAGTTCAAACAGATCAGGTTGAACTATTAGCAAAGAGGCCCGATCAGGACGGTTTTATTTATTCGTTTCAGATTTGTTCAACAATGTCTGGAGTGAAGGAAGAAAAACAAGCTGCAGCAGGATTTTATTCTGATTTTCCTACATTTCTACCTCAAAAATTTATATTTTTCAGTCAAACTGTGCAGATAAAGTTGGTTAAAAGTGGAAATTTTATTTTTTAGAAAATGGAAAATCTTTTAACAGACCGATGAAAAGGATAATTTTGTTCCTTCTCCTGACTAATACCTTTATTTAATAAAATGTTTTCTACACACGGTTTTCATTTGGTTGACTGTAGTTTATCTGAACAGTGTTTGTGTTCAATTAAAGGTGGAAAAAGTTTTAAATTATTAATAATGGTAATTTTTTTTTTCACAAAACTTGACATGTTTATGATTAATCTAAATCAGAACCTAGATGTTGAATTTATTCTGATTTTATGACCTACCAACACAAAGTAGAGCGTTATTCTGAAGTGAAAATAAAAGATTCAAAGTTCAAAAGTTTTTACACATAAAACATAAAACCTCAGTTTACCCACCACCCCTTTTACTCACATGTCCCTAAATAAAACACATCCAACTGCCTCCAGAGTTAGACTCCATAAATCTGACTTTTATGTTTGAGGTTTGTCACAAACTACAAAGCAACATGTGGAAGTGATCAGATGACACCAGAATGGCCTAGTCAAAGTCCAGATAAATACATTTACAAACAATTGTATCAGGTTTTTGTAATTATCTAAACCAAAAAAGAAATATTTCTGCAAATTTTCATTTAAAGAATTTGTTTTTAAAAAGTAAAACTGGTTATTTGAGGAAAACTAAATCAGATATGATCACTTCAGATTCAAACCTAAAGTGTCGCACATGTTGGTTTTAAGAAAAAAACAAACAACTAACACGACACATCATTTAAAAAAACAGTGTACACAAAGCATACAATGTTTTTTAACTTTTCTGAAAACTTTTTCAGAAAGTTTTCAACCAATCCGGCCAGATCATTGATGTCAACATGCCACACCCACAGGGGGCAGTGTCGCGCATCATGTCAGCCAATCACATCGCTTCCAATAACCGCCACTTCCTGTAGAAATTAAACACGGCGCTAGGAGTTTTAAGTTGTTTCATTTTTGCCCAGGAGGTTCATTAAGCTACTTTTAAATTGAGTATTAGAATATAAATGTAATAAAACACGAGACCATTTGGAATCAAGTCAATGTGGATATATTGGCCCAACATTTGTCACAGACTATTTGGATTTAATTTCTGCTTTCCCTTGAGCACACACAAATACAGATGCAGTTTCATTTTAAATCTTCTCTTTGGTCAGAGTTTTTACTGGTATAAAACAAAGTTTTCATGGGAATCAAACGTATAAAAATGAATTAATTTCCGCAGATATCGGCCTAAGTTTCTGAACTGCCGAGTAAACAACGGATCTGGGTTCAACACTTTGTGTCTGCTGATATTTGTTGTTCAAGAAGCAAAGATTTATGCAGACTCCAGATGGAGGTTAAAGGTCAATGCTGAAATGCATTGACCCCAGGCAGGAACCAGCAGCCATCTTGGTCAGGTGTTTCCTGTGCAGTGAATCAGCATGACGGAGCTGATTGTAAGTCAGTCAGCTGTCAAATCTGATGTGAGTCGTTGGGCCCGGATCGGCGGCGGCGGCGGCGTTGAGGCCGTGTTTATCCAACATGGCAGAGCAACATGCTGGCGCTCTAATGAAACCCGCGCCGCTCCGCAGGACGTCTCAGCCATGAACCACAAACTGCAACAAAATATAGGAACACAATCAAATATCTTATTTTGAAAGCAAAGGAAGTTGAACTAAAATCATGTTGATTTTAGTTTGTAAAATGAGCTGGACAGAGAAATTTGATTAATCACTTTTCATTCAATCAATCAATCAAGTTTGAGTAGCAATGAGTGATTTAGATCATAAAATACAAAAATACAAAGTCCTGAAAACATCTTATAATCTACAACTGTGAGACCAGGAACAAGCATTACATTTTGATGAGAGCCATGATCAAAATCATCAATACACATGAACATGTTGGTCAATGTTTCATTTATTGTGGTTCAAAAGCCTCCAGCTGAGTTTTAGTCCAGATTTAAAGGAAATGTTTGACACTTTCTGGAAGTTTGTTCCAGATCTGTGGAGCATAGAAGCTGGATGCTGCTGGTGGGGGATTCTGTTGCAGATATTCGATGTAGATGCTGCACAGAGCCAGAAAGAAGAGATAAAATCTCCGTGTTGGTGTGGAAGAGGCAGAGTTTAGTGGAAGGAAAAACTCATATTTCAATAAATGTTTGTATTTCTGGATGCTTTAGTGTGATAGATTTGTTAAGTTTTGTGAGTTTTACTGTTTGTTGTTGAGGATGAACTGAATCCATAAGCCGGCGTTCGTCTGTTCAACCAATCAATTCATGTTTAGTGAATGTTTTACTTTAACTAGCCACCTTCAGCTCTACACAGGAAGTCTGTTCCTGATGTCCACATTGAAATGATTCTGGTCCAACGTTTCCACTCTGCTCTCGTCTGTCCACAGGACTTTGTCCCACAAGTCTTGTCCAAATTTGCTGAGCTCGTTCCGGCAGCCATCTTGTTTCTACAGAAAAGCCTTTCTCCTCTTTACCTCCAAACATTTTATCAGCACAAAAGTATTTTTATTTTAACCTACCCAATAAACTACATATTAACCATTTTAATTAAACAATTCTTTTAAAAATCTTATTATTTTTCTATCTGGTCCTAATGAGGTTGCTCCATTTGAGACATTTTGTTATAATTTTTTTAATATGTTTTAAAATATTGGGCATTTTGAGGCTGATTCCCCTCATTCTCACCTAATGGTAGAAATAAAGTTGAGTCATTTCTTGTAAAATGAAAGGCAGTTGAACTAGAAAATATTTAGTTTGTCCTCAGCAATTAAATCAGGATTGAGGTCAGAGTTCGTCTGAAAGCAACTTTTAATAAAGAAATTAAAAGCAGATCTGGATGTAGAGAATAACTAGTTACCGTGGCAACATAGTTAACATTTTTTACAAGTAAATCCTTTAAAAGTCGTAGTTTTAAATTATTAATTTAGTCTTGAATTTTGTTCCAGCAGGGCTCAAAAACAAATCAGCTGCAAACGGCCCCCGCACCTCACTTTGAAAACCCTTACTGGAGCCACGCTGCCTCGGCCTCCAGGCCCGACTCCAGCTCCACCCGATTCCAGCTCCACCCGACTCCAGCTCCACCCGACTCCTGCTCCACCCGATTCCAGCTCCACCCGATTCCAGCTCCACCCGACTCCAGCTCCACCCGACTCCTGCTCCACCCGACTCCAGCTCCACCCGATTCCAGCTCCACCCGACTCCAGCTCCACCCGGCTCCTGCTCCACCTTGCTCCAGCTTCACCGGATTCCAGCTCCACCCGGCTGCATGCAGCAGGTTCTCTAATGAACAGTCAACAGAGCTGTACCGTAAACACACGACTTCCTGGGAAAATACGGAACCAAACCTGAAAGATGTCAGTTTCTGCTCAAGGTGTTTGAAACGGGGCCTCACAGCACCAAGGTCGAGGGTTCAAATCCCTACCAGGCCTGGACCGGTTCCTCCAGGAAACCTTTCAGTTACACACAAATATGCCTTCATTACATGAGCAGGAACTGGACTTTAAATGAGTCCATAAAATAAAAAGGACGACTTTCATGGCAAATAACTTTGGTTTAATTTTGGTGGTAATACAACTAACATACAACTTAACAGCAAGAAATAGTTTAATTATTCCTTTATAATGATTTATAAAGGAATAATAAAGGAATGATTATAAAGGAATATAAACTATTCCTTTATAATCATTTATAAAGGAATAATTATCTCAATTGGCAGATTATTCCACTTATAAGATATTTCTCATGTTATAAGTGAAATAATCTGTCAATGGAACTTTTTCATTAAAATAAGGAATTGTCGACTCTAAAGTTGTAACTTATGAGTTACTTTTGTCTCATTTTGAGTGAACTAAGATATTTCCATTAGAAACTGGACAAAAACACTTTGTGTTTTTGCAGTGTTGTGTTGCTTTGTCACCCCTAATTTAGTGGAAGGTAAAACTCTGTTTTTCTGGGAAATTGTTTCTGTCACGTTTTATTTGTTTTTCAGTTTTACTGGTCATTAAATAAATCTCAAGTTGCTGAGTCAGCGTCTGTGAGCTGGTATTTATCAGCCAACTTCCTCCTGTTCGACCAATCAGAGTGAAACATGTCAGTTTTTTATGTCATTCCAGATCTTTGTTCATCACCTTATTTGCCTCTATGAAGGTCCGTTCTGTTGGGATTGCTATGTACAGCTTAATGTGTAAATTCTGTAATCTGAAGAGTTTTTTCCATTTCCTGCTACAAACTCATTCTGCATGATATGAATTGAGCTTTAACAATTATCCAAGTTCGGTTCTGGTTTCTGCATGTGACAGAAAGATGATGAGCCACCATATTTGTTGGCAAACTGGGGAAAATGAAGCCTGAAAAAAAAAATGTTCCTTTTTTATTGCGAGGAAAATAGTCAGTACTTTATTTAACAGCCAACAGAAATAGATTAAAAAGTAAAGTACAAGTAGCAATGCTTTAATACGACGTCCAACATTAGGAAGAGTATTTCTCCTCGAAGAAGATTCAAAAGTTGACGATGTTAAACTTCTCACATAAATTTCAGTTTTTTTCTCAAAAGTTTGTGAAATAAATCTCAAAACGTGAGTTTTCTTTATGGAAAGTTCAATCTGAAATTTCCTCATTTTTTCTAGAAAATTTCTGACATTGATGTCAAAATCCTTTTTTTCTTTGACAAATTTTCAAACTCAGAAATTTCCAAAGGTTTTCTAGAACTTTTAAGGCTTTCTGACAAAAAATTTACTGTTTTTCTGTCTATAATGGCCCTGAAACACAATGGCAGCTTAAAAAACATGTTTAACTGAAATATTAAAACAGGCAAATAGTATGAACAAGAGGTCTCACTCTGACATAAATTACACGTCTGTTTCTGGAGCATTAAGTGAGTCTTTTGGTCATTGAGCTCATAGGAATCTGACAGTGGAGTTACTGTAGAACATCATCATTCAGGTAGAAGGGAAGCGTTTTACGACTCTTCAATCATCTTTACCGATCAGTTATCACCCAAACAAAGAAGAATCATGTTCTGCTTCGACCAAGACTGAAAAGGTCAAAGGTCAGCACAAAGCAAAACAAGCGTCTGAAGAATCTCCCTCATGTCCTCGGCTCTGACTGCCACCCGGTTTCCTCCCGTTTCTGTCAGATCTTTTCCAGAATCAGAGTTTTGAGACTTATTGTTCTCAGTAGAACAATAAGTCTAATGAGACTTATTGTTCTCAGAATTTAGGTGGAGATGGAGAACTTATTGTTCACAGAACAAAAAGTCTTATAAGGACTTATTGCTTGATCCAGACTTATAATGTTACTGTTATTACTTAATACTTAACTACTGACAACTAGCAAACACACTGTAAAAATGAACTAAAACTAAATGAATTGGACAAAAAGTCACAATGAAATAAAACTAGGCCATAATGAAGAACCCTAAGCAATTTAACCCGGATTCTCAGTTTATAAAGAAACAAAAGCATCAGTGGAGCCTCTGAGTGGCCAAACAAACCGGTCCAGGTGAGACGTGGGGGGAGAAGGTGGAGCATCAGGATGGGCTGAGCTTCACCTGCAGTAGAAAACCCGATCCCGGCTGGCAGGACGCCAGAACCGGGCCGTCATGCTCTCTGAGGAACAGCGTCCGGATGTTGGGACAGGAGTCAAAGGTCAGGAGGAATGAGAGCACGGATCTGAGCGGCTGAAAGGAAGCAGACGTTTTCCAGCAAACATGGCGGCGCGATGGAGGTCGGCGCTGCTCCTCTGCCTGCTGATGGCGGCTTCCAGCCTGGCCAGCAGCGAAACCTCGGAGGCCTCCAGCAGCGGGAACGAGACGTCGGGGTCCGGGCACGAGACGCCGGCCATCCAGACGCTGCCCATCGTAACGTGGAAATGGCACCATGTGGAGACGCCGTACCTGGTGGCGCTTTGGGTCCTGGTGTCCTGGCTCTGCAAACTGGGTGAGTCCAGAAAAACTAGAAAACGTCACAAACACACAAAACTTTCTCCATCAGGTCTGGAAGAAAAGTTAAATTTTCTACCTGTCAAAAATCATCAAGAATAAAAAAATGAAACAGAAGAGCTTAAAAAAACTGGACTGAGCAGAACTAAAGTGAATTAAAATATTTTCTACTAATACAAAATGTATTTTTGGTGCAGAAACTTAAATTCCACTGACAATTATCTACATTTTCCAGACAGAAACCAAAACAACTTCTTATTTAGCTCATTTGTTTTTTAAATTCTATTTATGATAACATTTAAACTTTCAGGGCATCTTTTAAAGTTTGACTTGCTTTTATTAATTTGACATAGTTTCTGCAACAAGAGAAAACAGTTTGAGCGTCAAAATGATTCTTTGAGTTATTTTGATGAAAGCAGGACATGAAGGAGCTTTTATTTAGAGTTTCAAAATGCAGAACTTTAAACTTTAAATATCACCTGGAAACATCTCTACAGTTTGTTCTGTGAAGACGACTCCATTATTTCACTCACATCCGGAGAGTCTTTAGCCAAGATTGAGAAACATGAAGGTCAATCATTACTGACGACTTAAAAACCTCCTGAAGGGACGTCCAGCGCGCACCAGTGACCTCTGACCTCTGCTCCATCGTACAAAACTCTGTCTCGGTAAAACTGAAAAATCTGTTAGGGACCGGAAAGAGCAAACAGAGCAAGGAGCGAGGAGTGACTGAGTAACCAGAGCGGTCCGTCACTCCCACCGCCGGCTCCACTACAAAAGGCTGCGGTCCGGGTCGGGAACGCTCCGGGTCGGGAAAGCTCCTGAGCCGCGACGCTTCAGGAACGAGGATGACCAACGGCAGATAGGAGGACAGCAGAGCGGCTCCTGATTGGTCCCCATCATGATGATCCTGGTTTTGCTGCTCTGCTGCATCTCGGCTGCGGCGCCGCAGGAATCCCATCATGAACACAGCGGCGGACGCAACGCCACCGGAATCCCCATCGTCTCCTTTAAATGGCACCATGTGGAGCCCCCCTACCTCGTTGCATTGTGGGTAATGGTGTGCTTCTTTGGCAAACTCCGTAAGTGAAGGGTCCGAAATGTTACCTTATCAACAAAAATAAGAATATTTTTCATCTATTTTGCTCTCTTATAAACAATCCATAAAAATGATTTCCATTTTAGAAACTTTAAATAAAATGCTTTTAAAAGACAGAATAGACGTTCCTCCGTTTATCCCTCAGATCTGTCCTCTCCAAACTCCTGTGGATCGATAGTCTGCAGGATCCTGAAGGTCGTAAAGTTCGGTCTGCTGCATCTTTTTATATCACTTCTATTTCTTTTGTAATACTCAGACTTCTTCTCTTTTTTTTTTTTAGAAAAATAAAGCTTGAGTCACACCTGGTGAGGTGAAATAATATTTTGCAAAGGGAAAAGTTGAATGGTTTCATTTGTCCTCTGGCTGGTTAATCATAAATCTGAACAAAGTGGTGCGTCTCAGACCAGCAGTCGATGATTTGCAACCTGACAGACGTTGTTCATACACGCTTCGGTTACAGTAAAACTGACAGTTATAGCATATTACTTTTTTATTTTGTAAATCTACGTTTGTCTGTTTGCTCCAAATGTTTATGTTTTCAGCTCGCTAAAACTGGTAAACTGGTGATTCACAGGCAGCTAAGTGTTTAGCTTAGCTTGAATCTAAACAGCTCCAACATTTGAGTTGACAAGAAAAAAAATTAAATTCTGACTTTGTAAAGTCAAAATTTTCCTAGGAAAACAACTTAGAAATTTAGATAAATTACAGGAAATTCAATAAAAATAAATTCTTGAAGGCTTGAGTTTAATCATAACATTTTGGAGTTTTTCTGGCTAGTTGTTGACCTTTAAACTCAGAAAGTTCCATGTTTCTTTTTCAAAAAATTGTGAGATAAAACTCAAAATTACAGATTTTTTTATTGTAAGTTTCTGACTTTTCAAGATCAGAGATTAATCTAAATATTTCTCTGTTTTTTAGATGAATGTCATTTTTCCCTCCTACTGGCCCAAGCAGCCTTTTTAATGCAGCTTTTATTTTCTGCTGTTTGCTTTGTTTTATGACTGTAGTTTATAAATGTTTGGCATATTCAGCATCCTGAGCCTCCGTTCCAGTAGGTGGCAGTAAGGCGCATCTAAACGTGGCTTGGCAACCGTTTTAAAAGAACAGCCTGGTTTGCTGCCGATTTCTGTTCAGAATAATTAAACAAAGACGTGTAAGCTGAGGACATACTGACTGGTTTGGCCTCGTTGTGCTTTCACTGACTGTCCCGTCTGACCTGTCCCCCTCCAGTCATTGAGGCCAACCACAATGTCACCAATTTCATCCCGGAGAGCGCGTTGCTCATCGGCTTCGGCTTCATCCTGGGCGGGATGGTGTGGGGCGCGGACCAGGCCCAGACCTTCAAGCTCACCCCGACCGTCTTCTTCTTCTACCTGCTGCCGCAGATCATCCTGGACACCGGCTACTCCATGCCCAACAAGCTCTTCTTCACCAACCTGGGCGCCATCTTGGTTCACGCCGTCATCGGCACGTGCTGGAACGCCGCCACGTTGGGGCTGTCGCTGTGGGGGTGCCACCAGGGCGGAGCCATGGGTAACTAGAGTTTCTATTGGACCAGCTGTTGACTTTTGCTTTGAAATGCAACATAAAATCTATGCTTTTTTATTTTTGTGGGAAAAATTGATGAAATGTGGATTTCAGATTAGATTTTCAAAATAACAAAAAAAAGCAAATATTTTTCATGCATTTGTTTTATAATTTGAAATTAGCTTGTGCCATGAAACTAGCACAACAAAATTCAAATTAGAATTTGAAGTTTTCTTTAAGATCTTCAATAAAACTATTTTACCAAAACAAAAATAATGTAAAATAATAAGTCTTACAAAATAACTGAATAGATTTGAGGAAAAGTCTCATTTTAAATGGATAATTGTCATGTGATTTTTCCCTGACTCTTGTCTTGCAGGCGACATTGACATCGGGCTGCTGCAGTACCTGCTGTACGGCAGCCTGATGGCCGCCGTTGACCCTGTCGCCGTCATCGCCGTGTTTGAGCAGGTTCACGTCAACGAGGTGCTGTTCATCCTGGTGTTCGGAGAGTCGCTGCTCAACGACGGCGTTACGGTGGTTTGTACATGTCCACACGAAGCTGCAGACCTGCTGCGGAAACTAAAACATCTTTATGGATTTTATATATGAACCACATGCGAACATTGTCTAATGTCACTAAAAGACTTCTGAATGAAGTGGAGATTTGAGAAAAATTACAGCCCATAAGAAATAATATATATAACCACATACTTGCTCTGACGTGTGGGTTGTTACAAGGATTCTGATTGGCTGACAGGTTTTAGCTTTGCACTACACTGCCCCCTATGGGTTTGGCATGTTTAAAACAACACTCAGGAACACATTAGTGTCTTCATGTTGATAGAAACCTTTCTATGGCATCGTAGATAGAAAGGTTTTGTAGATGAAAAAAATACATTTCCCCATTAATATTGAGAATAATGTCAGAAATTTTCTAGAAAATATTTGAAAATTTCTGAGCTCAAAGAGTTAAAAATTTGCTCGAAACTCTCAGAAAGGTTGAAATTAATCTTTAAAAATTTTATTAATAACAGTTCTGAGCTCCCAATGTCTAAATTGTTCAAGCAGTTTTCAAGTTTCAGAATTAAATAAATTGTGAAAAAAAACCTCAGAATGTTTGAGAAAAATCCAAAATTTGCAAGGAAAAACTTTCAAATTTTGGAATTGTTAGAAAAACCTTTTTAAAAACGTTTTTTCAAACGTTTTTTCAAACGTTCAGAGATTAATCTCATAATCTTTGTTTTTTTGTGCATATTATTAATTTTTAAAACATTGTAGTGGAGATATATGTTTTTAACGACACAGGAGGTGTAAACAGCTTCGGCCTCTTTTTTCTGTACTTGATCCGAACACCCGGACTTTAAATCAACGTTCACCAGTTGTTTCTCATTGTTAGGTGCTTTTCAACGTCTTCGACGCGTTCGTGTCTCTTGGAGGAAGTGCAATCGATGCTAAGGAGATCATCAAGGGAATAAGTGAGACATTTAAAGAGTTTTTATCTGGGAACGATGTGACCTGGTGAAGGCGGATAACCATGAATCTCTTCTATTTTTCTCAACAGTTTCCTTCTTTGTTGTGGCGTTCGGCGGTTCCCTGTTGGGCTTTGTGTTCGGCCTGCTGATATCTCTGTTGAGCAGATGCACCAAGAACATCCAGATCATTGAGCCGGGCTTCATCTTCGTCCTGGGATACTTGGCCTACCTCACCGCCGAGATGCTGTCACTGTCGTCCATCCTCTCGTGAGAAATCTGTTAAATAGATCAAATCTGGCCAAAATCAGCACTATGGACGTGAAGCTAAGGAGATTTTGTTCTTGATCTGAAGGATCGTTTTCTGTGGCGTTTGCTGTCAGAAGTACATGAACTCCAACATGGACGAAAACTCCATCCAAACAGTCCGTTACGCCATGAAGGTCTTCGCCAATGGCTCAGAAACCATCATCTTCGTCTTCCTCGGCATCTCCGCCATCGATAAGACCATCTGGGTCTGGAACACGGGCTTCATCCTCCTCACGCTGCTCTTCATCCTCATCTACAGATTCATCGGTGAGAGTTTCTGGCCTTCGTTGTCTGAGAGGGAAATCGACCAGTCGCGGACCTGACCCTTCCTGCTTATGTTTCAGGTGTGTTTTTCCTCACCTGGATCCTGAACAGGTACCGACTCGTCCCCATAAGTTTTGTTGACCAGATAATTATGAGCTACGGTGGCCTGCGAGGGGCTGTGGCTTACGGACTGGCAGTGAATCTGAATGAGGCAAAGATAAAGGAGAAGAACCTGATGGTGTGCACGACTCTCATCGTCGTCTACTTCACCGTGATTCTCCAGGTGAGCGTTCACGGTTGGTTGGTTGTTTCCTGTCACATGACGGTCCCTTCAGACCATCATTTATTCAGACACTTTCATCTTCTCTGCTCCAAAAATACATAAACACAACTTTCTGTATCGACTCCATCATGCATCTGATCCATCCAGTCAGCAACAGGAAGTTCTTACAAAACAGGAAGTAATTCTCCAACAAGAATTTTAAAAAGTGGTAAAAAGATATTAAAACAATACATTTCTGTATTAGCGCAGCAGTTTCACCTCACACTAAAAATTAAGGGAAATCCAGCCTTTATAATTTATTCTGTGGGGGGAAAATGCAAGTACAAAAATGATAATTTGCTTTACAAAAATGGGCACCACTTTACAATATGGCTCCCCTCATAGATGGCTAATAAATAGTTTAGAAATATGTTATTGATTCATCTCTAAACACCTTGTGCTGCCTTGATTCTCATGTTGTTTTGTGTATTTCTGACTTGCAGGGAGTGACGATGAAACCTTTGGTTCAGTGGCTGAAAGTGAAGCGAGCCGCAATCGCTGAGCTCACACTCATAGAAAAAGTACAGAACAAGGTAAATATCTGAATGAAAGAGTCCGAGTTCGACATTTTTCAACCTGGGACCCCAATAATATAAACATATGTCGCTAAGCTAGCCTAGCAGCTAGCATAGGAGCTAGCATAGCAGCGCCGAAACGCTAACCCAGTAAAACGATTACTTCTCTCCTAAAACAAAATGAACATAAGACCATTAAATGAAATAAGGTGTTTTATAAGTTCAGAAACGTTTTGGGGATCATATCCATGTGCTTGGTGGATGTTGTAACCTGTTAATAAACTAAAATAAGGCCATTTACTCCTAATGCTCTTCTTCATCCACCTGTGAGGGCAAAGCAGGGAAAAATGCGCGGGAAGCACTGCCACCCAGTGGTGTAAGTGGTTATTGCGCCTTAATTCAACTCCAGCCCTTTTAATTCCGTTAAAATGTGTTAAATTCTTAAATTATCAGTGAAACAAAACAATGTGTGTCACATTTAATTTTAGTAATTTGTTACATGTTGGATTTATGTTCAGGTATATTTAATTATAACTTGGAAATTTAAAAAGAATATTTTTTAAAAAATCCAATGAGAAATCTCACAAGCCCCACATTGAAGATCTCTGATTGGGAAGCTACAAAGTCTGTCATTTGTCTTGTTTCAGGTGTTTGAACACATGCTGATTGCTATTGAGGACATTTCAGGACAAATAGGAGACAACTACATGAGGAATAAGTAAGAACAGGAGACAGGCTTGTTGTAAATCCAACACCAACCTCAGGAGTTACAGTGGATTCTTGCTTGAAGGTGGAGGAACTTCGAGGAGAAGTGGATGTCGAGGCTGTTACTGAAGCCGTCTGAGAGGAAGAAGCAGGACCGCCTCTACAACGTCTTCCACCAGCTGAACCTGCAGGATGCGATGGAGTACGTGAAAGAGGTGAGGATGTCCCTTTGACCCCAGGGCGCCGATCCGCGGGGCGCCGATCAGCGGGGCGCCAATCCGTAAGGCGCCGATCCGCGGGGCGCCGATCCGCCGCTCTCCACAGGGAGGCTGCAGGTGGTGAAACGTCATCTCGCTCTCGTTTTATTTCAGGGTGAACGCAGAGGCTCACTGGAGTTCATCCGCAACGAAAGCGCGTTTGTTGACTTCAAGAAGAAGTTTGGGGAAGACTACGAAGAGGCAATGCCAGACTTCATGACGGATATGGCCAATGATCAGGGCGGAGCTTTGGCGATGAGGTGAGAGAACGACTCCAAACGCTTCCTTCAGGTTTTCCTTCCAAACCTCCAGATGTTCCTCGGGTCTCCTAATGCTCTCGATGCGTCTCCGAAGGTCAATGACTGTTAGGTGCAGAAATATGTTTTCAGGTTTTTTTTTTTCAAAGTTTTTGGAGAAAATTTCTGAATTTAATCTCAAAATCTGAGCCTCTCTAGCGAATTTTCAACGTTTGAAGCTCAGACATGTCCTTGTTTTTTTCTAGAAAATTTCTTATTTTCAAAACTTCTGAATATTTTGGCAGAAATGATCTCCTCCATTTTTAAAATATGAATGTCTAGAATAAACCACAGATGGTGAAGAACTTGCATATCAAATTAAACGTTATAAATATATTTTGTTGTTGAGCTTAGATGTCTATTTATTCAATAATTTAGCAGGTGAAAATGTTTCCAAGTTGAAAATGTTGATTATTTTGACCCTACAATTACAAAAAGGTAATGAAAGAAACAAAACTGATCAGATTTTGGCAGAATTTCCTTTTTCTCGTGTAAAGCAGCATGAACAAAACCAGTAACAATCCTGTTTGTGCCTGCAGGAGCGAGCCGGTGCCGTCGGTCAGTTTGGAGCTGCATGAGCAGAACATGAGGGGCCTCAGAGAAGCAGAGGGCATCAACTCTCACCACTTGCTGGACCAGCATCTCTACAAAGGCCGGAAGCAGGTCGGCCCGTCCAGCAGGCTGGAGCTGCGGCTCCAATGCCCCAAACACCAAATCCGTCCTCATTTCTGACGCTTTCCGGCCCACAGCACCGGTACCGCTTCAGCCGCAACCACTTGGACATCAACCAGGATGAAAACGAGGTGCAGGAGATCTTCCAGAGAACCATGAGGAGCCGCCTGGAGTCCTTCAAGTCCGGGAAGATGGGCGTGGCGCCACCGAAGACCATAACCAAGCACACAAAGAGAGAGCCGAAGGTCCAGCCCTCAGTTTGATTGAACAGGAAACTTGATTTAAGAGCCTCCTCTGCTGCGTATATTTATACACTCTTAAAGTTAAACTTTTCTGTTTCCATTGCAGATGCCAAAACAGCACCACTCTGGAGACGAAGGTTAGCATCTGAAACCAACTGCACCAGATTTAACATTTCAAGTACCGAGATCTGAAAACCCAAACACAACCTGAGACAGAAATAAACCGAAGAAGTTTAACCAGTTTGGTGCTGCAGGTTAACCTGCCAGCAGGCCTTAAAGCCGCAGTGCCCCTCTGCCTTCTCGCAGCGCTAACTGGGAACAACCAATCAGAGACAGGAGGCGGGGCTTAATGCTGTTAATTACATTATGGTGTGGCGCCTCTTGTCCTCTCTCCTTCTATCCATCGCTCTCTGGTACGTTGCAGCTAGCACAGTCTGTTATAAATGCTAATGCTAGTTAGCATTCGCTAGAGACCAGACATAGCAACGGGGTGGACCACGCCTAGCGACGGGTCGACCGCGCCTAGCGACGGTTGACGCCGTCTCTCCTCACTAATATAGGAGTTTCTCACTCAAACTCAAAGGTAACGTCCTTTTTGTTCATGTTGTCTAAAAACAGCGCTATGTTTTTCAGATTTTGAGTTCTCAGAAGGAGACGGCGCTTCAGGCTACGATGCTTCCTTCCCCATGAGAGTCAGCTACAGAGCCGGAGGTAGATCATCGGCACCATCCATTCCTTTACGTTGTGAACTCATTTTGACCCGGTTTCTGCGTTTCCCTGCAGCCGGAGTGGAGAACCCCGCCTTCATACCGGACCTGGACCCCTCCTCGCCGCTGCACATCCCCCCCTGGCTGGCGGACGCCGAGCTGGAGGTGAACCCGGTGGCGCCGTCGGAGCGCGCCCAGGTGAGGACACCCGGATACCTCCACCGCCCTCAGACGAGAGGGCGGTCCGGTGAGTCCGTCCGGGACCAGGACCCGTCAACACCACCGCCCCCACCTTATAGAGACGATGACCACCTGTAGCGCCGCCACAGGAACAGGAAATGACTTCAGACTTTGGATGAATGCCAGGATGTCAACCGGAGGATCAAGTGAAACTGTTTTGAGGATGAACAGCTTCCTGCAGACAGTGCTTCTGGAGGTTCCTGTCTCTGAATGTGACGCAGAGACCTTTGAAAATGAAGTTATGGTTTTAGGAGGGTTTATGATCAAAGGGACATAAATCAAATCTATGATCTGAATTTCAGTCTATTATTTTTGCTGAGAGTTTAACATAAAATGCTGTAAAAAACCTCTCATGTTTGACACATTTATGTATTTATATCAGTTTGTAAAGCCAGACATGCAGAGGACAGCTTGATATTTAATCCATGTGTGAATGAAAATATCCTTTAGAAATAAAATGAATAATGTTTTGGTGGAGTTTATTTAAACTGGATAAATGTTCTCTGCAGCTGAGAACCAACACGGTTTGTTATGCACATAAACGTTCAAATCTCAGCATGAAACGTCTTTAAAGAAGTATTGAAACTGATGACACTCTGCGAAAATCACGTTGATCACAAAACTGAATTGCAAGTTATTTTATAATGCTAACATCAACAATGTGTTTCCAGTTGAATTGAAGGGGAGATTGTTTCATGGTTACAACAGTACAAAAAAAAACTTGGTAATTTGTGCGTGTTTTTGTGTTCCACTGTTGTATGAAGGGTTTTAAAGCCCCCATGCTGCCCCCAGCCTCCAGGTTGTGTGTTACGGCCCTGTAGTGCACAGATCTGCGGCTCCGCAGCTCAGATGGCTGCACAGATGAATGACACTTATACTGTATTAATATTAATAATTATAATGACGTTTAATTGAACAACTTTAGGGAGTTATTGATTTGTAGCTGTTTCCATGTTTATTGCTGTTCTTATTAGACTCGATGTTTGTTGTTTTCTGGAGCGCAACGCGAAGCTTAACGTCATCCAGAGGTTAAATATTCACATGAACAAAGACAAAAGGGAGGGATCATCCGGGAAATAATGGACAAAAACTGACTGGATGACAAATTCTGATTATTAAGCCCAAAAACCGCAACTCATTAAATCTGCAGCGACTTTAGAAAGAAACGAGGCCAAAGCTGCTATATGCGGAATTGGCTGCGCCACTGTTTCTGTCGCATAGCAACTGCGGTCAATCCCCAGGAGGCGAAGAGGAAATAAAATGACAAAAAGAAAAAAGTCATAAAGTGGTTTCGATAAGCAGGCCTAACTGCAGTCTGACTACCTGATTTCAAATAGAAACGTCAGGAACTGCACACGGGTTTGTCTTTTACCTCCATAAACATAAATTGTGCCTCCACCTGGGCTGAAAGCCTCGAGCGTCACTAAACGTTCTGCCATTTCTGAGGAGGAACCTGAAAGTTGATCTCTGCTCCGATTGATGATGAACAATGAAACCACTCGTGCTGCAGTGACTTCAAGTGCAACTGTTGCATTGTGGGGAATGTAGTCTTGATGCGGACCGGGCCGGTTCTAATAATAATAATTAAATATCATCCAGGGGCCACAGATGATTAATTGACTCACAGGACTTTCACATATGTGGTCTATGCACTTTCTGTCTCTCTCTGTCGATACATTTACTGTAAAAATATGTATATCCAAGTATGCGGCATTGAGTCATAGGCTTTCTTGTAATCAATCCAAGCCATGCACAGGTTGGTGTGTCGGGTTTTGCAGTCTCGGGCAAAAAAACCAATTCCCTTCTCACCCACCGCGGGTGGTTCTTATCCTCTGAGCTCGGGTCCTCTACCAGAGGCCTGGGAGCTTGAGGGTCCTGCAGTATCTTGGCTGTGCCAAGGACTGCACATTTCTGGACTGAGATGTCTGATGTTGTTCCTGGGATCTGTTGTAGCCACTGCTCCAGTTTGGGGGTTACTGCCCCGAGGGCCCCGATGACCACAGGCACCACTGTGGTCTTCACCTTCCAGGCCCTCTCCAGTTCTTCCCTGAGGCCCTGGTATTTCTCCAGTTTCTCGTGCTCCTTTTTCCTGATGTTGCAATCACTTGGTATTGCTACATCTACCACAACGGCTTTCCTCTGATGTTTATCCACTACGACAATGTCTGGTTGGTTCGCCATTACCATTCTGTCTGTCTGGATCTGGAAGTCCCACAGGATCTTAGCTCTGGCGTTCTCCACCACCTTTGGGGGTGTTTCCCACTTTGATCTCGGGGTTTCCAGTCCATATTCTGCACAGATGTTTCTGTACACTATGCCTGCCACTTGGTTATGTCGCTCATGTACGCTTTCCCTGCCAGTATCTTGCACCCTGCTGTGATGTGCTGGACTGTCTCAGGGGCCTCCTTGCACAACCTACACCTTGGGTCTTGTCTGGTGTGGTAGATCTGGGCCTCTATTGCTCTGGTGTTTAGGGCCTGTTCCTGGGCTGCCAGGATGAGGGCCTCTGTGCTGTCCTTGAGTCCAGCTTTTTCCAGCCATTGGTAGGATTTACTGATATCAGCCACTTGGGTTATTTGCTGGTGGTACATCCCATGTAGGGGCTTGTCCTCCCATGATGGTATCTCTGGCACCTCAACCTCCGTTCCCTGTTGTCTGAGACATTCGCTGAGCACATTGTCTGTTGAGGCTTTGTCCCTGATGTATTTATGGATCTTAGTTGTTTCGTCCTGGACAGTGGTTCTCACACTCACTAGTCCTCTGCCTCCTTCCTTGCGGCTCGTGTACAGTCTCAGGGTGCTGGATTTGGGGTGGAACCCTCCATGCATGGTTAGTAGCTTTCTTATATATGTGTGTGTATATATATATATATATATATATATATATATATATATATATATATATATATATATATATATATATATATAGTTTTCAAAATGCTTTCCAATTAGTTTTGGTTCAGACTTCTAAAAGTCTGTTTTTGTTCCATGTTTACATTTTCTTTTTCCAAATCTGCCTTTAATGAATAAATGTGGTTGTCTTATTTTCTGTTTAAAGTTAGCAATAAAAATGTTGAAATAGATGAATTTGAGCAGTGATGTTGTTGAATGGGGGGAAGCCGCGCCCGGAGTGAACCCACACCTACACGGGGAGACATTTCCCCCCGTGCAGTCCTGGCTTTTTAATATTAAAATGTCCAATTAACATCATCTGAACCTCTTTATCCAATTATTCCCAATCAGCCAGCTTTGAAATCTAATGTGCTGGAGACATAATTTCATGTCTACAGTGGATGGACTTTATTTCTGTTTGTGAATTTCCGCAGAAGTGACGGAGATACAGCCTTCCTAAATCGTTTCCACAGAGATAATTTTTTCATGGGTCTTTCTTGATCACAGTTATCCTTCTCCTCAGCTGACTCTTCTGCAGCATGAGTCTCTGAGTCCTGACTTGATGTTTGTATTGTATCTTCATTTAATGTGACCTTTCTCTGTGGAGGTGATGTTCTCTGGTCTCTCTCTGGTCTCTGGTCTCTCTCTGGTCTCTGGTCTCTCTCCCCTTCTGTCCCCATTTCTGCAGAAGTCGTCTGGGGGATCTCTGCTACTATGTCTAAATCATTTCTTGGTATTTTAGTGTCTTCAATCAACTTGTTATTCGTCTCCACTGGGATGACAACAGCTTCCATTTCAGCTCTCATTGTCATCTGCTTCTTTTTCTGACATTTAGATTCAGTCAATTCTTCTGAAATGATCTGCTGAATGATCACTTCTTCTTTAGTTAGAATCTGGTTTATAACAGAGGCTGTCTGAAGCCCTTCTGCTTCTGAAACTCCCTGTTTACTGCTTGCTCCAGAAACCGTGTCATTATTTAAGGTTTCCAATTCAAAGCCAGGTTTCTTTGTCGATTCTATTCTGTTTTGACTTGTAGATATCTTGTACAGCTTTTTCTGCCCATCCTGGTACCCATTCAGATCAGCCCACTGAGTTTCAGAGGGCTGATCTCTTAGAAATAAAAATATCTCAACTTGCCTAAAAATTGTTTGTCGGACTGGTTTCAGATGGTATCTAGTGTCCAACACGTGTATAGCAGGTTGCATAGAAAGTGTTTGTCGAACTGGTTTCAAATGGTTTCTGGTGTCCAACACATGTATCTCAGGTTGCGTATAAATTGTTTGTCGGACTGGTTTGAGGCGGCATCTAGTGTCCAACACATGTATCGCAGGTTGCATAGAAAGTGTTTGAGGGACTAGCTTCAACTGATTGCTGGTTTCTTGTGCGTCTTGCTCTGTTTCCATTGCAGCAGACTTGTGATCAACTGTTTGTGGGCGATTTTCTGACTCTGTCTGAGTTTCAACAGAAACCATTGGACTCTTTCTTCGTCTTCTTACGGACAGTATTTTCCTCATCATGTCTTTCTGTTTTTTAATTTCAGCAGTTAGTTTCTTATTTATTGCAGACATCTCATCAAGTTGTTTCATGAGGTACTTCTGTACTGCAATATGGACCAGTTGAAATTCCATCAATTTGGCTACACACTCACACTTTGGATGACTTGTTACCTTTTCAGAGGGGTAAGGTGAAACCATTGAAACATTTTTTGTTCCAATGATATCAGGGAAAAAGCTTACATCTACATGAGGCTCTGAGTCGGGAGCGTTTTCCAAAATGTCTTCGGTCCGCTGCTGGGCAAAGCTGCCTGATGACTTTGTTGTTCTGCCAGAGGACCATTACTGATGTCTTCATTTCCAGCAAAAAACGACAGATCAATGCAAGCACCTTCCTCGGGGAAGGATTTCCACAACAGTGGGGTCTTCTTGTTGCGCTTAGTCTTAGAAAGCTGTTTGTCCCCTTTTTGATTGACTTTCTTTAGTGAGCTGGAGATGTTTTGCTCTTTGGCGTCCGGCTGTGTGGTAGAGATCGCCGTGCTGACAGGAAATCTTTCCTCTTTCAAGGATGCGCCTTCGTCACATTCTTGTGAAACCATTGAAAGATTTTTTGTACCAATGATCTCAGTGAAAAAGCTGACATCTACATGAGGCTCTGAGTCGGGGAGCGTTTTCCAAAATTAACGGACGCTGCTGGTGTTAAGAATTAAAAAGAGGAATAACTTGATTTAGCTCGTTAATTAATTCTTAGTCCCGAATTCCTGTGTCTGTGTAAGTGTGCAGAGAGAAAAGAGCAATCATACGACGTCAGACTTCAGATATTCAGAGTTTTATCCAGAGAAATTCAATCCAAGAAGAACTTTACAATAAGCATCTCACCTAGAGCAAAAGTCCAAGATATTACAAAACAGAGACAAAGAAC